CAACCCGACCAACTGACGCGCTTTAATTCGATCGAGCGAGGAAGCTGATCATATAGTGGTCGTGCCTGCCAAAGTAAAGAATTGGTTGGCCGACTAGCTATGATTGAGCGCCCTTGTAGGGGGCCTTTAGGCGATCAAGACTGCGAGCGTGGTCAGTTGATAGTCCCCCGTCATAGTATGTCGGTTGACTTTGATCGAGTGGTCGGTCATTGAATGAACGGTTCAAATCGTTCTCTTTTGGTCTGACGCCTTGATCATCCATCAATTATCCTGAACCGATGGATTGCTTTGAGATCCATGTTGATAGTTCTAGCGTATACATATTAGTTCCCTAACTTTTCTTTCTTCTTGAAAGTAACAACTACGATAAAGATATGGAAACTATTTAATAATCAGTGGAGCTAAAATCAAGAAAATTAACGAGACAATTAACTTTCCTTTGATTTTGTGCTCAACGTGCTTTAGAAATAGTCATAGACATGGCGGGGCATCTACTGCCGTCATTTTTTTCTTTTTCAGTTAAATGAGTTGCATCATGGTTGATGATTAGAGCCAGATCACTGTGGACCCCAAAGTTCTTGGCAAGGAGGGCTATGAGCCCTTGGTCCTTGCAAAGAAGAATAAGGTTAAGAATGGAAAATGGTCGAGGCCCAAACTTTGTCTACTGATCAAGTCAACTCGTTTGGGGAACTCGAGGGGCGAATGCCAAAAGTCTCTCTTCAGGAGGTTGCGGTCCCCGAGTCTGGCATGGGTATAAGTGTTGAAAGCCAACTGGTCTTGCTTGCTGGAGGGGTTAAGGAGTGTTGAATGGAGCCAAGGGGAGTGGCGATCACAGTGTCTTATGAATTGTCTGTTACTACATGAAGACAAAGGTATCTCACCTCAAGAAAAAGAAAAAAATCTTGGCAACTCTTTCTTCAATAGATAAATTCATGGGTATGTAAAGCTCTTTTTGGCTGTTGACAGTTTTTAATAATTTGTTGACATTATTCCCAATAAGGTGAATTGATCGAGCCAGAGGATTGACATGACGATGGACAGTCAAAAGATGATCATTAATTTCTATATCTTTCGACTACCACTACAATAGTTACAAACATTACTTTTATTCATTTTATATATTATGATTTATCAGCAGACCACCTAATGGAGAGCTATATTCTTAAATTTTGATATGTAAATTATATTAGATTAACATTTATTAATTCCCTTAAATTGAATATGAAATTATATAACATTTGAAGAGTTCAAAGTTTCTTGAAGCACATGTGACGGAATAGTTCAATAGAGAAATTGTGTTTGCTAACTATGTATCTTTGAAAATTTGATTGTAGAAAACCAGCTCCTATTAGGCTCAACAAAATAAAATATTTAAGTTTTGTTATTACTTGGGGACAGGTAACCCTTAAGTTTGGCGGATTTTAATATGTTGATAATTTGAAAATTAATATTATTTGCATTTATATTAATTCATGAGATTACACTTTTGAGAAAGGTTTTTGTGTTGATTTTGTAGGTTGCAACAGGAAATGGGCATCAAGAATCAAACGAAAACATGGAGCACAATTTGGCCATTGGGCGCCTAGGCATCAGAACCTGCTTAGAATCAAGCCACAACCCGAGAGCATGGTGTCATGGCACCATCCATGGGTGCTTAGGTGCCACGACAATGAGCGCGTAGGCGCCACAAACTTAGGCGCCCGATGGACAGTTCCAAACAGAGAGCTTGACACTTAGGCGCCAGACCCTGAGTGCCTAGGTGCTCAAAATTGAAACCAGTAGTTGAAGCAGCTCGGGCTTCGAGATCACGAGATATCATGGAATTCATTGAAAGGAAAATATAAAAATGAGAACGAACTGGAGAGGAGTCTTCTGCTTCACTTCAGTTCTAGTTTTTCTTCTCTCTGGGCGATGAGGAAAAATTCTTGCAGATCATCAACAACAGAAGATAGGAAGTGTGAGATACTATAGAGACTAAGTGCTTGTATTTCCATTTGTTTTTTTATTGTGAATAAGAGAAAGATAATAAAGATAATTTCTCGTATGTAGTTTGTTGTAATATATTATTTGTAAGACTTTTGTAATCCTGATTTCTCTTTTAAACAAATAAATGTGTTAGTGTGTACAGCATGAGTAGTGAGTAACTTTTCTATTTCTTCCTTGGGATGGGTAAGTAAGATGGATTGGTGTAAAAGGGCAATTTGTCTTTGAACAAAATAATTTTATGGTGATGATTAATTTTCTGAACTTCATTTACACTTCATTTTAGTCGTGTAATGTGTTAAAAATTGTTGCAAATTATAACTCTTGGAAGAGATTATAATGGAATCAACTAAGTTATTCACATTAGCCTATAGGAATAGGAATATATCGTGTAGGGTGATGTAAATATATGGGAAGAATGTTGTGATTGGGCTAGTAATAGGATTTATGGAAATAAAGCTATGTCTAGCCAAACTTCTTTATGCTACCAGAATGGGATAAAGAAGAGTCTTGCTCCTATTTGTCATGATGGGTTACTTCTATATGATTTTACATTCAAGGGTCTTATTCGAACCATTTTAGGGGAGAACCTTTACGTACTTGAATTCTCAACATCTTTTTTGTTAATTTAAGATTGCTTTTATAGGATTTAAATCAAACTAAAATTAAAGGCTATGACTAACAACTGTAGGGTAGAACTTTTTTTGTTAGAATTCCTCTCATTTTCTGTGGGATCGACAACCGAACTAAAATATTGTTACTATTGATACGCTACGTATGCTTGTGTGAGCCGTTCGTACTTTGTAAAACTTGGTGTGTGTCAAGGGCGTACATTCTAAGACTCTTCTTACAATGATTGACTCTCCCTCTGACGTCTAACTCTTCCCTCGATCACTGCCCTTCCTCCGACCAACCATCAGAACTCGATGACTTCCCCGACGGAAAATCTCCAGAATGACAGACCCAACAGATGACAAAAATAAAGTGTGAAGAGCGCCTAGTAGGGAGTATCATTAATGATTCATGCTTTAGTTATATAAATTTACTTGTTCTTATTGCAGATGTTAAAGAGCAAGAAAACAGGGGAACTTAATATGTATAGACAGAAAATGATGCTGAAACCTTACCAGGCCAAAACAAATCATCGCCGAAGACAAAAGTATTTCAGTCAGCCGGCTCGTGTCACTCGGTCAGTTAAGTTTTCTCCTTAGGCCATCTCACGTCAATCAACCGTCCATATCTCTCCTCCATCCACCTCACGCCAATCGACCGACTAGTTCTCTCAACTGGCCGATTAATTCGATCACGGATCTCGAGACTGTCTAACGGTTGGAGTAAAATGAACTAAAATTCCCTTTACTTCTTCTTTTTAAGGCATAACTGATATGTAAATTTTATATTTTCTACCCCCTTCTATCATCTATAAATCGGAGAGTTTCATGATGTAAGAGGGGCCCTTTTTTTAGGGGGATCCTCCCACTTGTAACTCAAGTTTTTAATGGAATAAAATGAGCCAAAGAGTTCCTGTAACACCCCATGTCCCCCCGACCGGGGGAAGTCTTCTTCTTCTCCTCTCTTTCTCTCTATCTCTCAATATTTTTCCCTTAATCCAACGCTTCATTCTTTAGGCATGGCTCGTTGGACAGATTTGGATTCACACATAACAACACTGGAATTAATTATCGTTGAATCTTCAATAAGATGTTATGTTATGACTATATTTTAGATACAACGTTACAAGCAAAGGTGGCAGACGGTGACGAGCAGGGGCGGTCGACGAGCTGTGGTTGCCACAAAGGTCAAAAGTTATTGTCTTGTCTTCAGTAGAGAACTTCACTTGAATTCTACTCATTTTCTTTTCCCCTCAAGTTAAGAGAGTGATCTGTTTATAGCTTAAGAGGAGGATCATTTTGATCCTTTGATAAATAAATCTCATAACCATATGATTGAACGACCCATATTGATCCTCCTCCATCATAAATAATTATTTTGATTTGAGAGTATTAATTACTTCATAATTAAGCGAGTTTATTGTCACAGACAAAAAGTCTTACATCGGCTAGGTGTAGGGTCAAAAAACAGTATTTAAGTCTCGGGCTGCCCACCACTTGAAGAGCTCTTTTGGGAGATGACAAGTGGTATCAGAGTAGATTACTGTCTGTCAGGAGTGTGGACTCTCCATGATCTAATGAGACCCTCAGTGGAGTCGATCCGTGATGAGGGTGTCATGTGATTGAGTGGAGGAGAATGTCACAGACAAAAAATGTCTCACATCGGCTAGGTGTAGGGCCGAAAAGTAGTATGTAAGTTTTGGGTTGCCCATCACCCCGAATAGCTTTTTTGGGAGGTGTCATTATGCTCGTTAGGTTTCTCTCATTCAGACGTGTGATATGAATATGAATATGTTAAATTAGGAATTCATCTGACTGTTCGATTAACGATTTGAAGTCTTCAAATATGCTTTAAAATTTTGATATAAACTTGACTTGACTCGGATTGAAATAATTTTGGTATCATTAGTTTCAATATTGTTGATACGTCCAAATTAACTATAATTTTGTGGAAAACATAGCCCCAAATAATTTTAAATTTGAAACTAAAATTTTTCTTACTAAAACATATCCATAATGGCAAAAAATACAGTTTCTTGATAAGGCATCAACTCCAAATTAAACTTAAGAGAAAAATTCAATATTAAGAAAAGCACAAATTATTCTGGCGAGGGGCAACACATCACAGGTGAAAGCAAAATAGTTTAAAAAGCCAATCGTCCCCATGATGAAGTGGCGCACCAGAGTCGTGCCAGTTTTGGCCACGTTGTTTCAACGTGAGCGCTGACGTTCAATCTTCAATGTACACCGACCATTCCGCTCTCTCTTCTCCCTCGCAGGTTTTTATTTCCGTTTTTGTTTCGTCTACGATCTTATAACAATCTACCACAATCTCTCCGTATAAAAATACTCTTACTCTTCTTTGACCACTTGTTCTGCTTTAAAAGAGAGTTTTGTTTGATTCAGCGGTTTCTTTCACCTCTTCATTTTGGGAGTTTATCACGCATTGTCCGATGATGCTCATGTCGTGTATTTAAAAAAGCAAGTTGTTCTTTCGTTGTCAATGGAAAGCCAATTTGGCTTCGCAATGCTTTTCAGGGTTTTAAGATTTGACAAACCGGCTTTTTAAAAGTTTTCTGGTGGATTACAGGTTGGAGAAGGGTTTCCCGGATTGTTTAATGCTTTAAGATTTCTAGTGCAGGGTTTGCTGCAATTTTTTTCTTTTCTTCCTTGATCTTGAATTGAAGGCGTTGTGAAGAATCCAAAATTTTCTACTTTGTTGTTTAGGATCGCTTAAAATAGCATTTTGATTGTTTGGAGGAGGGAATAAAGTTTGAGGAACCGCAAAGATGGAGGTTTTTGCGCGTAAGGAGGATGAGCTAACTCACTGAGTTTATTACTTTATAATTCAGTTTTCTTTCATATCAAATTAATGGTTTTCTGTTGAAATATTTAGGTGCTGGGCTTCTCTTTTCTGCGGATTCTGCTTCCTTAAAACAAGGTGGCGATGTTTGTGGTCCTGCGGGAGTGCTCTGCTCGTCCACACGTTCGAATCATTTGCTTGTTAGCTTAGTCAGTTTGCTCCTAGCTGTCGCATTCTTGATCAATTTCTTTATCAAGGCTGCCTTGTCAAGGAATGTTAGACTGCGACCTCTCTTCAGTTTCTCTTCACCGTTGGAAACAACCTGCTCGGCTCTCAATGGAAGTCTGGGATTGGTATACTTAGGAGTTTTTCTAACGATATTGGAAGAGAAATTAACAAAAAGGCCTGGCCTTTATCCTCTCCATTCATGGCTTGTAGTTCTATATATAGGTTTAACTTGGCTGATCGCATGCATGATGGTGAGCATGCGAGTAGAGTTGCTAGGAGAGATCTTTAAGAAAGTATGGTGTGTAGCCTTTACTTTGCTTGATGGATTTCTCTGTGTATCTTCCATTCTAGATTTAGTTGTAGTGAAGAGAAGATCCATCAAACTATTTGTAGATATCTTCTCTTTGCCAGAAGCAATTTTTATGCTTGTGTTGGTCATGAAGATGAAAAAACCTTCACAGAATTCTAGCAGCATAAACAGTTCTTTGTATGAGTCTCTTAAATCTGAATATGACGGCGACTTAGTTGATTTAGATGATCATGCTTCAATTACACCTTTTGCGAAAGCTGGCTTCTTTAGTAAATTGTCATTCTGGTGGTTGAATCCTTTGATGAAGAAAGGCTATGAGAAGCCATTAGAGGAGAAAGATATTCCTTCGTTGGGGAAAGATGACCAAGCGGAGACGCGCTACTCCTTGTTTCTGGAGCAGTTGAACAAGCTAAAACAGAAGCAGCAGACTGTTTCTCCTTCTGTTTTAAGGGCTATTGTGTGTTGCCATTTAGATCAAATTTTAGTATCAGGGTTCTTCGCACTGCTTAAGATTCTAACACTCTCTGCAGGTCCTATTCTACTAAAAGCTTTCATTAAGGTATCATTAGGGAAAGGAACTTTTAAATATGAAGGTTTTGTGCTGGCCATCGCTTTGTTTCTGGCAAAAATATTAGAGTCCTTATCACAGAGGCAGTGGTACTTCCGAACCCGAAGGTTAGGTCTGCAATTGAGGTCTTTGTTATCAGCAGCCATTTATCAGAAGCAACTCAAGCTGTCAAACTCAGCTAAACTTCTCCATTCTTCTGGAGAGATAACGAACTATCTCACCGTCGATGCTTACAGAATTGGTGAATTCCCATTCTGGTTTCATCAAACTTGGTCGACTAGCTTCCAACTCTGTATAGCCTTATTAATTCTCTATAATGCTGTGGGCCTTGCAACTGTAGCAGCCATGGTTGTCATAATCCTTACTGTGCTCTGCAATGCCCCGCTGGCCAAGCTGCAGCACAAGTTTCAGACAAGACTCATGAGTGCTCAGGATGAGAGACTGAAAGCTTTGTCAGAAGCTTTGGTGAACATGAAAGTACTGAAGTTGTATGCTTGGGAAACACATTTCAGGAAGGTTGTGGAAGGCTTGAGAGGGGAAGAGTGTAAGTGGCTTAAAGCTTTTCAGCTTCGGAGAGCTTATAATAGCTTCTTATTTTGGTGTTCCCCTGTTCTAGTATCTGCTGCTACGTTCTCAGCCTGCTATCTCCTTAGAATTCCTCTTAATGCGAGTAATGTATTTACTTTTGTGGCCACATTGCGCCTTGTTCAAGATCCGGTTAGACAAATTCCTGATGTTATTGGAGTGATCATACAAGCCAAGGTTGCGTTTGGTAGAATAGTTAAATTCCTCGATTCGCCTGAGCTGAAAACGAAAAGGTACAGCGTGAAAATGAAGAAATCAATAGTGATAAATTCAGCTAGCTTTTCATGGGACGAGCATTTTTCAAAGCCTAACTTGAGGAATATAAACCTCGAGATCTCTACCGGCGAAAAGGCGGCAATTTGCGGGGAGGTTGGATCAGGAAAATCGACTCTTTTGGCGGCGGTCCTTGGAGAAATAACTAAAACAGAGGGCATGGTAATGCCCTTAAATATATATCACATCAAAAACACAACCTTTTTACATTTATACCACCCAAATCTTTAATATGATATCAAAGATACCACCTTTTTCATACATAGATAAGATAGTATGTATGTAAAAAATGGAAGTTTGGGTATCAGATAGGTAAATACAAAGGAATTGAATGGTATGCATATAATTTTTTTTTTTTTGGCCCTTTTATCAGCTTCTGCTTATATTTACTGCAGCTGGAAAAAGAATCCTGCTTTACTTCTAAAATCTGTTTTTTTTTTTTTTTGTTGTAAAATTGCATTAAATGGCTTTCCTGATTGGAAATTTGCAGGTTCAAGTTTCTGGAAAAATTGCTTATGTTTCCCAGACAGCTTGGATTCAGACTGGAACTCTGCGGGAGAATATTCTATTTGGGTCCCCAATGGATGAACGAAAATACCATGAAACGCTGAAAAGATGCTCATTAATTAAGGATATTGAGATGTTGACTTTTGGAGATTTAACCGAAATTGGGGAAAGGGGAGTTAATCTGAGCGGCGGACAGAAACAGAGAGTTCAGCTTGCCCGTGCTCTTTATCAGGATGCGGATATATATCTTCTTGATGATCCTTTCAGTGCTGTTGATGCTCATACTGCCAGCAGCCTTTTTAATGTAAATTCTGTTACATATTAGTCGTGCTATTAATGAATTGCGGAGGACCCATGTAAATAATGTAATTGATGATATGCAGGAATATGTGATGGGTGCTCTTTCGTCCAAGACTGTGTTGTTAGTAACACATCAAGTGGATTTTCTTCCGGCATTCAACTCTATTTTGGTAAGTGCTGCTGTACCTTCCTCTTGATTTTTTATGTCACAGATTTGTGGTGTTGAATCCACGTGCATAACTTGTTATTATCTACGTCATACTTGAGAGCTACCAAATACTATCGAGTACATGTGCTTGCCTATTTTGTTAAATGATTCGTACTTTGGGACAAGCCGTGCACTGTTGAATCATGTGTATAACTTTTGATTAGTTTAATTTATGTCTACTTTGAGAGCTACCACCTTTAGTACGGTTTTAAATGTTATTTTATAACCTTAGGATAACGTGGTGATCTAATCTGAAAGCCGATCATATTATTGAGAGAGAGACAGAAGTGCCAAAATAGTCACTTGGTTATTTAAATGGAGTTATTTTAGTTTTAGATTCTAAAAGTGTCAAATTTGTCCTTCTATTTTGATATGGGATTGATGCATGCCGGAAGATTTCCGGCAAAGTGATTATTTAGCGTATTAATGTTGCATGAAAATCCAGCGCGCACACTTTGATAATTAAAGTTACAGATAGAGACACCATAAGTTTTTACATGGAAAACTCTAAAAAGGGGAAAAAATCATGGGACCTAGTCTAGTTAAATAATTCACTATTTAATGGTGAGTACACAAGTCTACTCTTCTCCCGAGTTAGGGAAGATGAAATTATAAAGTTGACATGAACAATATTTCAACAATAATAGTCGTAATGAGTTGCGAAAGCCGTGGTCAATTGCTCTGGAGGCAATAGTTTGATGTGAATTTTGTAGATGATAGATGTAGCGTCAGTTTGTCATAGAGGTCGAAGTTGAGAGTTACATGAGTTGTGATAAATTTCGTAAGGCACAGAGGCCAAGGTTGAGAATTGTATGAGTAGTGATAACGTCCGTAGACCATAATGGTCGAACTTATGAGCAGCATGATTTTTGAAGGGTTAGGGACCACGATGACACTAAATTAGGTTGCTTAGACGAAAGAACCCATTGTTGCTGACAAGAGTCCTTAAATTAGGTTGGGTCGACTATCTTCTCAAACTAAATAGGTGGGCGGTTGTGATGTCCCAGGATGACAAAACCATGAGATCTTAATCATGTTTATCATTGTTTCTCCCACAATCCTTTTTAAGCTCAATGTGATAAATTTTACAATTTAAAATGTATACATGTTGCTACTATATGTTGATTAGTTAGTGTTAAATGAATAGCCTTAATCGAAATTGATCTCCTATTATTAGGAGAGGTAATTAATCATGCGACCCATTGTGATATCTGTGCCTATGAGAAACCTCGAACCCCACATCAAAAAAATCATCGCAAAATGAGGGTGAAATCGCTGCGTAGGGTCTTATCTACAACCCAATCAGCATTCTGAAAAGCTAACCCTTAAAGCTCTCTCAAACAATAACAAGAAGAGTTTTGTGCATCAAAATTTTCGAAGCCTACGATATACACATCTTTAATAACTTGAATATGAGTAATAGCAACACATTTCTTTTTTAGAATTGTCTAAAGTGCTTTTCTTGGAACTTTATTTTGAGCTTTTTTAATTCAATAAAATTTATTTGTAGTTCCTCCTTATTTTCTCTACATTTCTCCATCAAATCTCTCAATAAATGTATAACTTCCATAATAGACTTTCTTGGCATAAATCCAAACCAATTTTGAGAAATTTTTATATTCTATGTACAATTACTTTCTCCCGTAACTTTAGTATATGAGAAATTAATTTAATTTTCCTATAGTTTGCATATTCTTGTGCATCCCTTTTATTCTTAAAATTGTGAATCAATATACTATTTCTCTACTCTTCAGTTTTTTATATAATATTAAAAAGTTTAGCAAGGCAAAGAATTCATAGATCGCTTAAACATTTCCACACTTCTGTTTGAATATCATTAGGTTCTGTTATTTTTCCACACTTTATTTTCTTTAAAGCCTCCTCAATCTCTATTATTCTAATGTGATGTTAGAAAAAATAACAAATATTATTATTATTATTTATAATATTAAGATCACTAAAGCTGATCATATTTTTATAATCTTCATTGAATAGTTTAACATATTATCTTACTCATCTATGTTGAATATTATCATTTGAAAAAATACTTTTTGATTTTCATTCTTAACATACTTGAACTACAACCTTACCTTTATTATTCTCTTTGCTCGGCTAACTTATATATATAGTTCACTGTTTTTAATATCTAATTTTGTTATAAATATCACTAAAAATAAAATTTTTAACATCACAAACTGATCTTTTAAACTTAAAAAATGTCACCTTATATTTTTCTCAGTTCTCTAAGCTCTTACATCTAAATCAATTTTTATAATAATTTTTTTTTATTTTTTATCTTTGCTTACACATTATTTTTTCACCATCATCTATATTTATTCATAATTTTTTTATTCTTCAAGCACAACTTTTAAAACTTGCTTAATAATACTCTTCATTTTATTTCACATAATATTGGCTCGTCATAAATATCCCAAATATTATGATCTTAAATTTTACCCGTAAATAATTTTTTTGTCTACTAAGTACTCATATCTAGCTCTATAATAATATTTTGTTATATTTTTAATCTTCCAATCTTTAATTTTAAAATTTAAAACTAATAATTGATGCTGGGTACCTAAATTTTCACCTAGAATGTCTCTATAATATTTACAATTTTGACCATCTATTTTTCTCATAAGAAAATAATCATGTGCTTGATTAGATCCATTATTATATGTGATAACATGTTCATCTTTTTTTTTTAAATCAAATATTAACAATAACAAAATATAAGTTAAAGCAAAGTCTAATATGACTATACTTTTTTCATTAATCACTTCAAAATCATAGCCACCATGAATACTTCTAAAAAAATTTTTCATTCTACCAACATGTCTATTTAAATGTCCTCCAATAATTTTTTTCTTCGAGAGGTGTCATTTGTATCAATTATTCTAAACTATTTCAAACTTTTTCTTTTAACATATATTCAAATCTAATTGATGAGCATAAGCACTTATAACATTAAAAATCTTAATATCAATAACAATTTTTAGAGCGATAACTCTATGTTCAATTCTATTAATTTTTACAACTTTATCTTTCAAACTCTTTATCTATAAATGCATACATCATTTTTAATACGATTTTTACTTGAATACCAAAGTTTAAAATCTAAGTTATCACTCTTCTTAGTCTTTGCTCAAACTCATTTAGTTTTTTGAATGTATAAGAAATTTATCTTCTTATGAAATATAATATCTATTAATTCGATTAATTTACTCATGAGTATTTATATTCCAAATACTTATTCTAATATTAGTTTCATGGACCAAGTTCTTTGTCTGCATATGTCCATAATGTGGGAACTCTTGTTTATTTAACCCAAACGTATGACACAATACTAATTACAAATTAGTAGGCACGAAGCCAATTACATACAAGGAGAGCACAAGCAATGGCGGAAGTTTTGCACCCTCTTCCTCCTTTCCTTTCTCCCTTCCACAAATTTGTTTAGTAAACCTTTCTTACTCCTCTCACTTGAAGTCCTACTATTTCCACCACTGAGCACAAATGTTGTGTGATCAAAATTTTCTATTCTTAGATTAACAAATGCTGATATACCCTTGCAGCTGATGTCAGATGGGGAATTTATTTCTGCTGCTCCTTTCCATGAATTATTGGCTTCCAGCAAGGAGTTTCAGGAACTTGTCAATGCCCACAAAAATACTGTTGGTGCTGAAAGGCTTGATCAACTGGATTCTAATAAAAGAAACAAATCATCTATCATGGAGATCAATAATGATGATGGGGGAAAACAACCAATGACCAAAGACACAAATGGAGCAGAGCAGCTGATTAAGAAAGAAGAAAAAGAAGCTGGAAACACTGGAATGAAACCTTACTTGCAGTACTTGTCTCAGAACAACGGTTTTTTGTTTGCCTCACTAGCTGCACTTTCTCATGCCATATTCATGGGTGGTCAGATTTCCCAAAATTCATGGATGGCTGCTAAAGTTCAAGACCCAGAAGTGAGCATGCTAAAATTGATTTCAGTGTACTTGATGATAGGATTTGGCACCGTCTTTTTTTTGTTATCCAGATCCATATTTGTTGTCGTTCTGGGCATGGAGTCATCAAGATCTCTGTTTTCTCAGCTGCTAAACTCTCTGTTTCGTGCACCAATGTCGTTCTTTGACTCCACGCCTCTGGGAAGAATTCTTAGTCGGGTAATGAAGGCGTTTCAGTTCTTATAAGCTGTTAATTCAACTCTTTTATTTTGTGTTTATCTGAAACTTTAATATAATTCTCATGCAGGTCTCCTCTGACCTTAGTATTGTGGATCTGGATGTGCCATTTGCCTTAATTTTTAGCTTCGGCGCCACATTTAATGCCTATAGCAACATTGGTGTGCTTTCTGGTGTTATATGGCAAGTTTTGTTTGTTGCTGTACCGTTGGTCTACCTTACTCTTCGTTTACAGGTTTGTTCTACATATAATACCTTTTCTGATTAATGGATTCCTAGGTTTCATAGATCCATTTTACTTTGTTACAAAACAGAGGTACTATCTAGCTTCAGCAAAAGAGTTGATGAGAATTAATGGAACCACTAAATCTCTAGTAGCAAATCATCTTGCTGAATCGGTATCAGGAGTGGTGACAATCAGAGCTTTTGAAGAGGAAGATAGGTTTTTTGCTAAAAGCTTGGCTCTTATTGACAAAAATGCCAGTCCCTATTTCCATAACTTTGCTGCAAGTGAGTGGTTGATCCAGCGTTTGGAGACCATGAGCGCTCTTATTCTTTCTTCTTCAGCTCTTGTCATGGCTATACTTCCTCCAGGAACTTTCAGCCCGGGTTAGCCATCTGTCATCACTTCCTCCTCGAAATTTTTAAACCGTGTAGGCTACATTTTATTAGAGTGGTGGGATTATATTACAAATGAGCACTCTTTTCATTACCTGCAATATGCTAAATTTTTATTTCTCATTGCCTTGTAAATAACATTTTGCATCTCCTTGGAACAGGTTTTGTTGGGTTGGCGCTATCTTACGGCCTATCCTTAAATATGTCACTTGTTTTCTCAATACAAAATCAGTGCATGCTCGCAAATTACATCATCTCCGTCGAGAGGCTAAATCAATACATGCATGTTCCAAGCGAAGCTCCCGAAGTCATTCGAACCAACCGACCCACACCCAATTGGCCGGCTTTTGGTCGTGTAGAGTTCCAAAATCTTCAGGTACTTACCAAATGCTTTTTAATTCTTCATTTTAAATTCATGAAATATCTTAAATATTGCAAATTTAACAATTATTCAACTTAAAAATGTTTATTACAAGCAGATCAGATATAGGCCAGATACTCCTCTTGTTATTCAGGGGATCAGTTGCGTTTTTGAAGGAGGAGACAAGATTGGAATTGTGGGGAGGACCGGAAGTGGGAAGACCACGTTGATCGGGGCTTTGTTCCGGCTGGTTGAACCGGCCGGAGGGAGGATTGTTATAGATGAGATTGATATTGCTGAAATTGGCCTGCATGATCTAAGATTGAGATTTGGAATTATTCCTCAGGATCCCACCCTGTTCCATGGGTCTGTAAGATATAATCTTGATCCATTGGGACTGTATGAAGATCAGCAAATATGGGAGGTAATGTTGTTCAAAGTAGTAATTTAATCCATGGATGAGCTTGGGTGCATCTTTTATTCAGATTTGTGTTAGTTTTATCAAAAAACTCTTGAATTCTTTCATTAGACCTTAAAGCTTGAATTTTGATTGTTGAACTCTGCTGAACAGGTTCTGGATAAATGTCAACTTCGAGAAGCTGTCCTAGAGAAAGGAAGCGGTCTAGATTCAATAGGTAACAATTTACAGTTCCACCAATTTTATACCGTCATGAAATTATGAAAACATCAAGCTCTTTTACATTTCATGTTCTTAAAAATCAAATATTTACGCTTCAGTGCTTGAAGATGGATCAAACTGGAGCATGGGACAGCGACAGCTATTCTGCTTGGGCCGAGCATTGTTAAAGAAAAGCCGCATACTGGTGCTCGACGAGGCCACAGCATCAATCGACAATGCCACCGATGCCATCCTCCAAAAGACTATAAGAACAGAATTTGCAGACTCCACGGTCATTACTATTGCCCATAGAATTCCAACTGTGGTGGATTGTACTAAGGTTCTTGTCATTAGTGATGGTGAGTTTCTATCAGTCTGATCCATCCTTTTCTTTTAGGGATCGCTAGATCGTAGTTTGTTCATGACATGATTCTAATCATCAAAAAATCTGTACTGAGATAAAACATTCTAACACCAAACGACGAACTTCATTGATTCATGCAAAGGTTTCTTCCATTTCACACTTTTATGAGGTTATGAGAAGCTCTTATTCTCTATGCAAGGAATTAAAAAAAGGGATAATTACATAAAATTTAACATTATTATTGAGTGAGCATATAAAAGTTATTAAACTGCATGTCAATGATGTGATTTTATATTTCAGGGAAGATGGTAGAGTATGATGAACCAGTGAAACTCATGAACACAGAAGGATCTCTGTTTCGGGAGCTCGTCAATGAATATTGGTCCCACACTGCAAATGTAAATGTGTAGTTAGCACGTAGAAAGACGACTTAGAAGCTTTTTGCGAGTTCAAACGAAGTTGCTGTTGAGCTTTACGCTCGAAGTTTATTGTGCATATTGCAGCTATTGAGAATGTGTGCATGAAGTTGGGAGGGAGGCTTAAGTGCTCCTTTATTGATGCTGAGCAGCGTTGTGTAGAGTTTTGCATGGATAGAAATATTTGAAGGAATTTGCATGCTTTTGTTTATCTATTTTTAAATTACATATTGTATTTATCATAGTTGATGAGCTCTCATTTTATATGTGAAATTAAAATTTTGTGTATTTACAAGTCTCTGGTTTATAAAGAGGCCTGTGCTTAAAAAGTATGATTTTCAATGTAAAATGAATGATGTTAACAATTCTGCTATGAGGAATTGTTTATTGAATTTTCTCCCTCCTATATTTGTGCGCCTGCTATATTTACACCTGGAATTCTGATGCAAACTCATAATTTCAATTTATGACTGAGCAATTTCTTTTGGGCTTCTTTGAAAGTATTGCCTTGTTTATTTATTTTTAAAGTTAGAATGGATAGAAATTGTTTACATTCAGTAAAAAGCTTAAAAAAGATCAAAATTTTCACTCATTTTCAAAATGAGTATTGTAGTAAATTAGCTTATTATTATTATAAAGTATAATTCAATTTTAGTCTCTCAACATCAATTTAATTACATATAATAACAATAACATAATTAGGATTTCAAGGTAGATTGCTTGATGAAATGGTACTTGAAATAAAGTATGATTTAAGTTCTAAAGCCCCCATATACAGTAGACTTAGTAATTAATTGCAGGCCATTGATTGCACAAGCCTTGTGCATTTTTTTTATTTTTTGCAATCTAAGGTCCGCCTCAACGCAACTAGAAAAATATTTTGAGGTATATGCTTCGAACAGCTTGGGCAAAACATGCATCTCACATTAGTTGAGGCAGGCCTCATCTCAATTTTGTTGGGGCGTGCCCCTCTAGCGCTTATTTTTTTTCCTCTAATATTAGACGATTTGAATATGAATTAAAGCCACCCCCTCCTTAATCAAGCAGCCTCAGTGATGTTGATTAGTTGATGTTTACTTTATATTTTATATGTGCAAGTTATCATATGCTAATTTACAGCTTATGTTACTTATTATTTCGTATAAATACAAATTGTCACTTTTTGAGTCTATGATGCTAATGTATCATTTTATCCTTTTATTTTGACTTCTGCAATTTTGGGCTTACACCTCGCCTTACAAATGGAAAACATGTCATTACCCAATTCAACAACAACAACAACAACAACAAAGCCTTAATCCCACTACGTGGGGTCGGCTTATTGCACCCAATTGCACAATTTTAAATATTGGCATAGTGAGAAAGCAGAGGCAGCTCCATATACACTGAAGGGAAAATAAAATTTGCTCAGTACATTCAGAGTCAATTCTAAAGACACAGCTCACAATTTTCTTTTGCTTTGCAGGAACTCTCAAATTACAAAGCAAAGACAACAATTATCTTCTTCTCATAACTAATTCAGAATATCAAGAGCCAAAATTTTTTCCCATTAATTACATATCCTTAAAACATAATATATTGAAGGAAGTTGGCAACCCTAACAGTAACTCTATAATACCTGATTCTGCAATTCATGACCCTTTCAAAGCTTTCAAACGAGCATGCCTTCCCTCCAATCTCGCTTCAAGTAGCTTTGCCTTCAAAGTGTTATCTTTCAGTCCTTGTGGCATCTTGGATGAGCATTCTGAGGCCTCAAGGTCAGCAGATACTCTCCTGTGATTCCACTGTTGCACAGGGCTGGATGCTGCGACGAAATTTCCTTCAATATCATCGCCAAAGTTCGGCCGAAATTGCCCTCTTCCCGAGAGTTTGTTACGACTTACTTCCCCTCGATAGTTGGCATGATGAACCTTGAAGCCACCAGAATTCTCCAAATGGTTATTGACCATGTAATGAGTCAACAAGTTCAAGCCATTCATGGCATCGACATTTCGTTCATCGCCACCAGCAGAATTAGAAACTTCACCCTTATCAGCTTCTGCAACTCCTCCACAATCAGCATCTGAATCCAACTCCAATCCTGCAGATTGCCTTTCTAATCCTTCGATACTTTTCTGATACCCTGCAGTTTTTCTACCAGAAGATAATTTTCTTGCATCTGGAGCTGCTTCTTTAGTTTTCTCCATGTTGAGCTCAAAGCAGTGAAGATCGCTAGCAATGGAATCATCGTCCTCAACATCATGAGGTGCGCTGACGGTGCCATTCAAATGGAGGGATTCAAGGGATAGACGACGCAAATTATGATGATGTTGCTGTTCTTGACTCTCCTCCTTAACATTGCCTACTCGTCTAGCTTGAAGAAATGAAATGATTTCCTCTTCTAATCTGTTTACCATGGTGACATTTTTAATCTTTTCACTGCAGGATTCAGCCATTTTTATCTGCAATCTCTCATCCAACCATACTTGGGATATATAAAGCAGCAAACCGTCGGCTTTATGCTCGCAATCCTTTGTATATTTCTTCTTCAACTCCCTTAATTCTTTATCATACTGCCCAATTCCTCTTGCAAACTCATCACAGAGATCCTCTAACAAACTATTTGATTTCCTTTCATTTTCAAGGGCTTTGATCGCCTTTGCTAACGCGGATTTGGTCTCAGACAACTCCTTACCCAATTTACGATGCAGATTCTCGGAGCGCCTTCGTAATCTCCTCTCATCATCAAGCTCTTCTATCATGGACTGAACTGCAGCCTTCATCCTTCCATGCTCCTTGTTCTTCCTAACTGCTTTATCTTCTGCAATTTGATTCATCAGCTCGTCCACTTCGTGATGATGGTCCTTCTGTTCCTGCATCAGCTGGTGAATTCGCGCCCTTGCATTTTCCAACTCCATTTTCAATGCTTTAACCACAGATACATTAGAGGCGTGCTGTTCTTCCAAGCTCCAAATACGATTCAACACCTTCAGTAATTCAGTTGATGTTTTCAAGCTGTATCCTGGTTCTCCAATCCGACCCTTCAGACCCACCGGACCGCCGGGGCTAATTGCCGGCTTGAAAGGGGTAACCTGCAGTGTTCTAAGCTGTTCGTTAGAAAAATGCAGTCTAAAATGAACAAAACATGTTATGTATACCTCCATAGAACTACTGTAAGTTGCAGGAGATGACCGTAAACAATGGTTCCTCCTTTCGTTTGAGTTGCGGTGTTGGATTAATGAAGCAACAACATGCCTCCTTAAACTTCCAGCACTTCGAGGCTGCCACAGAGATATTCACAGAATTATTGCTGGTAAAAGATGAAGACATGCCCTGTTCATGAAATTCTACCATTTTTAACCAAATTCATGAGGTTTTCACCAATTTTTTCCTCCCCATACTATCTTTAATATTAGATTGGGGAATCTTTATAAAAATCATGAGGTTTTCTAAAAAAGACTTAACTTTCCAAAAGAGAACAAAAAAAAAAAAAAGGAACAATGCGAGCTTGAGGGGGGTAATCCAAAAGCCCACATGCTTCATTCAATTTAATCAGATCATCCATGAATCCCTAGATATTGAATGAACTCACCGGATCAGCCGAACCAAAAGCCAATAAATCATCAGGATCCCTTCCGGCATCCGCTCGGCGGTGAGTTCGCGCACCCTTCCGACTCATCCCTACGGCAGGCAACAAATCTTGCACCTCCCAGAGATTCGCTCCGAGCTTCCTCGCCGAAACAAACTCTCTCCGTCTCGCTGCAGACTGACGCCTCTCCTCTACTCCGGCGTCTGTTTCCAACTCCTCGCCGCAGTCCTCCTCCAGCTTCCAGACAGGAGAAGGAGTGCAAGGTCTGGCCTTTTTCCCGACTGCAAGCCCTCTTCTTAGCTTTATACTCAACAGCGTCTCCTGCGCTCTCGCCGGCCCTTCATCATCATCGCTTGCTGCTTTCCCTTTATCTCGCCCTCTTTCCATCATCAAGCTATCGCCTTTATGAGGCTGGAAGCTAACCCTTTTGTCGCCCCATGGTTTTCTTTCCTCCACTTCTCTTCCTTCGCGGTTAACCTTCTCCTGTGAGGCAGCTGGTGTCATTTTCCCTGCTGTCGGAATTTGGTCACCATCAAGTTCCCCTAAAAAAATTAAAGTTTGTCAAGCCGGTACTGTTTCTGGGAGAGTTAGGATGTGAGATTGGGTGACCTGAGGACATTTGCTCGCACTGTCGCTTTAGGAAATCAGCGGTGGATTAATTAAGGGAACGTTTGGGGCAGATTAAGGAATTTGCGTGAGAGATAGAGAATAAGTGCTTCTTAATTTGCGTACCGTTTGTATTTTATTATTGGAGACGTGGGATATATGAATTTATTTCATATTAGGCAGGGAATTAACTCTTGGGGGAGGTTTCGTAAGGAGAGAATATTTCTTGATTTATTGTTTAACTTTTTCTAGAGTTTTTTAATATTATTTATCATAGATGAATATTTCCTTAAAGTCATTTAATTTTTCACTTCAGCAATTAATGATAAGTCTGTTTTCTCTAGTAATTTGTATCCTCAAGAAAGATTTTGACTTTTGAGTCAGAAATTCAATTTTTGAATGTGATGTGATTGAATTGATGGATTTGGTGTGTTTTTAATCTTAGATTTAGAAAATATGAATTTAAGAACTTGGAAGGATTGTAAGTGCAAGATGAATATGAAAAAAAAAAAACATACATTGTATCTTTATTATGAGCATTGATGACATTCGGCTAAATGTTTTGAAAGTAATGATATGATAGATATGATTTCATTACCTTAATTTTACTACATGAAGAAAACATGAATTAGACTAGAGCACCTCATGCATTTTAGGAATGCCAAGCTGTCCTCAATGATCTAGCAATTATATTAAAGTTTTGCATCTCATTTGAGGAGTGTGTTGGTGATACTATTTTAAAGCTTCTAGATGGTATTGAAGAACACAAGGGTAGTTAAGGAAAGTGGGAGAACAAATGTAAGTTGAATTCTAGCGTGAACGATAGAATGACAGCAATTCAGAAGTAAATAATAGTTAATTTTTATTGTTGAACAACATTAGTCAGCATTTTGGCCGACCGAGGAGGCCTATGAACGTTCGAGAGAGATTATCAATTTAAAGCATATATGGTTACAAATGCACCACCTCAAAGAAATCAAAGGATATATTACTTCAATAATAAAAATCAAAAGAATACATCTCCAAATAACATAAACCAAACTAAAAATTTGAAAAATAGATAAATCGTAAGATATAAATAGTTCTCTTATAGAAAAATCTAATTAGAAATATGGTGCTAAGAAAGAAATAAGGAAATTGCAAAAAGTGGTAGTCCGCATTCTAGTTCCACTTCACGTGATCATTATGTGGCCTGAGTATACGATGTTGCTCTTTCGAATCAAAGGATTCCACAATCTTCGCTAGATTTTACGATTTGCGACATTCTCTTTTTGGGAACTCTCACATCATTTTCCCTGGCTAGGAGATGCTTTTTCTTCATCTTTGGAAACTTTTGGAATCAATCTACAATTTTCATATTGTGACTCCACGACGTCAGTTGTTGTTTCCCACCCTGCCTCGTCACAATGAGTGGGCGGCGGTTGGCAAGTGGTAGTCGACAGTGGCTAGCTGATGTCGATGACAGCAGGAGTGAAGCTAGTATTCAATTCTTTCTTAAAGATTTAAGCACTTCTTAAGACTTCAAACTTCTCTCCCTCCATGAGAGGTTGGAGCTCTATTCATAGAGTCACAGTTGCAATTATTGAAGGAATCTGAACCCCTATGGTCAGACGCCCACGAGAGACTCCCTCAAACAAATTATGTTTGATGGACATTTAAGTGTCTTAACGATATTGAAATTGAGCAATCTTGGGCACTTTGTATTCATCTTATCGAAACGTTCAACTCAACCACAAGCTCACCATATTTTACATACATTTGACATTTCAAATATGCCCCAAAAGCTTTCTAAAGTTTTTTAATAGCTTGATTTGAACTTGTTTTTGACTCGGATTGAACCAATTTTATATCATTGTGTTTGTCTCGTCAAACCGATCAGATTGACTATAAGTTTGTTGAAATCAGATCTATAGATGTCTTTTCATCTAAGTTTGAACATTTCTTGCTCAAAAGGGTGTTTCGAGACCTGTGTCATACCCCGAGATTCATATTGGATGTTAAAAATTTGTTAATGGAGTATCAAGGATGGTGATGATGACTGATACAAATCTAATAAATTTCCATCATTTTATCGAATCTCGAGCACCACTTTGAGAAAGAAATATTGATAAAAAATTATCCAGAGCTCCGATTTTAGCAAACTCACAGTCATACTAACCGGATCAACGTGATGAATCCAATAATATCTAAATTAGTTTATTATGAGATCTCAGATCAAGCTTAGAACAAGTAATTAAACCACTATTAAAAGTTTTTTCAGATAAATTTAGAAGGTCGGATGAATGCATAATATGATGTGTTCATAGTCAAATCGAGTGTCTTGATAAGAAAAATCCAACAAGCCCAAGATCGATCAATTCTGACATCACTAAAGCAGCTAAATATCTATTAAATGTCATTTGATTGAGGAATCCATAAGTTGTCTGATAAAAGTGGTTCATATTTCTATAATAATTACACTCATAACTCTATAAATAAAGCTCACGTGGTTCATATTCTTGTATTAATTACACTCATAACTCTATAAATAAAGTCCACCCCTTTCATGTGAGAGGTTGGGAAATGAGCATGAGATTTGAGGAAGAGCTTGAAGCTTTGAGAAGGAGCTGCAATCGAACATCACTCTTGTCATTGTCCACCGCCGCCGACTACCACTGACTCCTGTCAACCACCGTTGATCATTACCTGTCGACTATTGTCGATCACCGCCAACCGTCATCGACCACTGCTAACCACCGTCGATCACCGTCAATCGTCGTCGACCACTGCTAACCACCGTCGACCACCCTCTCACAACTGTCGTCGATAAATAAATTGCAAAAAGTGGTAGTCTGCATTCTAGCTCCACTTCACGTAATCATTATGTGGCCTGAGTATGCGGTGTTGCTCTTTTGAAAGAAAGGATTCCACAATTTTCGCTAGATTTTGCGATTTGTGACATTCTCTTTTTGGGAGCTCCCACACCATTTTCCCTGGCTAGGAGATGCTTCTTCCTCTTCTTTGTAAACTTTTGAAATCAATCTACCACTGTCATATTGTGACTCCACGACGTCAGTTGTTGTTTTGCACGTTGTCTCGTCACAAGGAGTGGGCAACAATTGGCAAGTGGTGGTCGACGGTGGCTAGTTGATGTCGATGACAGCAAAAGTGAAACTAGTATCCAATTCTTTCTTAAAGCTTTAAGCACTTCTTAAGACTTCAAGCTTCTCTCTTCCATGAGAGGTTGGAGCTCTATTCATAGAGTCACAGTTGCAATTAATGAAGGAATCTAAACCCCTATGATCAGACGCCCCCGAGAGACTCCCTCAAACAAATTGTGTTTGATGGACATTTAAGTGTCTTAACGATATCGAAATTGAGCAATCTTGGGCTCTTTGGATTCATCTTATCGAGACACTCAATTCAACCACAAGCTCACCATAGTCGACATACGTTTGACATTTCAAATATGCCCCAAAAGCTTTCTAAAGTGTTTTAATAGCTTGATTTGAACTTGTTCTGACTCAGATTGAACTAATTTTGTATCATTAGGTTTGTCTCGTCAAACCGATCAGATTGACTATAAGTTTGTTGAAATCAGAGCTATGGACGTCTTTACATCTAAGTTTGAACATTTCTTGCTCAAAAGGGTGTTTCAAGATCTGTGTCATATCCCGAGATTCATATTGGATGTTAAAAATTTGTTAATAGAGTATCAAAGATGGTGATGATGACCGATACAACTCTAATAAATTTTTATCATTTTTCACGTATCTCGAGGCAAAGTTTTGAGAAAGAAATATTCAAACATTCATAAAAAATCATTCAGAACTCCGATTTTAGCAAACTCAAAGTCAAACTGACCGGATCAACGAGATGAATCCAATAATATCTAAATTAGTTTATTCTGAGATCCCATATCAAGCTCGGATCAAGTAATTAAACCACTATTGAAAGTTTTTCGGACAAATTTGGAAGGTCAGTTGAATGTCTAATATGATGTTCTCATAGTCAAACATAGTGTATTGATAAGAAGAATCCGACAAGCCCAAGACCGATCAATTCTGACATCGCTAAAGCACTTAAATATTTATTAAATGTCGTATGATTGAGGAATCTCTCTAAGTCGTCTAATAAAATTGATTCATATTTCTGCATTAATTATAATCATAACTCTATAAATAAAGCCCACGTAGTTCATATTTTTGCATTAATTACACTCATAACTCTATAAATAAAGTCCACCCCTTTCATGAGGGGGGTGGGGAAATGAGCATGAGACTTGAGGAAGAGCTTGAAGCTTTGAGAAGGAGTCGGAGTCGAACATCATTCTTGCCACTGTCCACCGCCGTGGACCACCACTGACTGCTGTCAACCACCGTTGACCACCACCTGTCGAATATCGTCGATCACCGCCAACCGTCATTGACCACTGCTAACCACCGTCGACCACCCTCTGATGACCGTTGTTGATAACTATCAACCACCCTCTGATGACCGTTGTCCCCCCGCAACAAGTTCATTCACATATTGATGTTGTAATTAAGAAAATTTGTAACTTTTTTCTGTCTGTGGGACAAAAGATCTCTGTAATTATCAACTTATAATTGATTTTTATAACAAAGTCAGATCCATCAGTTTTGTCTTTTTTTGGGGTTTTCACGTAAAAATTTTATAGTATCTCAAGTGGTTATTTCTTTTACGTGTGTGCTGAACTCTCAAGCAACACTAAGACGATAATACATTACTCAACCACCACATATTTTCTAACATGCATAATAATAAAATAAGTTAAAATCTGCTTGAAAATTTTATTATTATTATGATATTACATTTTTTTTTTCGGTTTATAAGAAACAACAAAATTTATTATACAAAGCCATACGCATTATTGGGCTCGCTAGATTACCGAGTGTAGTGCGTAATGTTTATATTCGTGCCCATCATAAACTTAAAAATAAATTTATTATTTTACATAAGAAAGATCTTTGCGCATTTGCGTGCGAATGAAAATGGGTTATAAATAGTTACGATAACGGCGCACCATTCTCCGGTTTCCTTTTCAGTATCTAGGGTTTTCGCGGTCGTCTGTCACCAGGCTTTTACTCTCCGGTTCTTGCTTTGCAGTGGGAAGGCAGGCTTCTCCTAATGGCAGAGGACCCTCAATATTCCTCCCGGTTGGATAACAAGCGAAGGTTCGAGGATCAGAGTGGTGCTACCTCTCCATCTCCTGCTACCTCAGCGTCTGGCCGGAGGCCCACCGGGTTCTCGGCTCCTATCATCTCGCCAACTTCGGGCGCCGCAGCACTGTCGTCTTACAATAATGTTCCGCCCCCTCCCGATGGCATCGAGCTTGCCAAGAAGCGGGCTCAGGAGATTGCTGCAAGGATATTCAGCGTTGCCGAGGCTAAGAGGCCCAAGCTTGAAAGCGATGGTGGTTCTGAAGATTCAAGCAACAAGGGTTTTAGCACCGGTATCTATCTTACATATTACGCCTTAAATGATCCGCTATTATTCCTGATCTACTAGGAATATGCTCATGAGAGTGCTAATTCTTCATATGTGTACTTGTTCATGTTATTGTTTTCCTTACATAAAGTTTGATGACTATAGCGTCTTACTCTTCTTATATATTTAAGTGGCATTAGACCTGCTGAAAGAATTGGCGATCTAGTGCTATTCATCTAATATCACGTGGTAGGTGCTAACAATTTCATATGAAGCATTTCTATTAGGATACCATAGTACGGTGGTATATCTCTAGGGTTTTGTCCAAATTTAGTGTAGTGCCACGGTATTAGCTTTTGGATCACAGTTCTGAGGTACACAATTCCATCATTTGCTGTTCTTTCTATGTTTAAGATGGTTTTCTTTGATCTACTGGAACCTGGTAGACTGCACCACTTTGTTTAGTTTGTATTTTGATTCACAGAACATTGGTTTCATACTTTTTTATGCAAATAATATTTATCTTGGCTTTTTTATTTAATTCTGATACTCTATGTTTTATTCCTTGATTATGAAACTCAATGTTTTATTCCTAAAATATGAAATGTTCTGTTTGCATGCGCAAAAGACCAATCACTAAAGCCAATGGGTCAGTCTATAGCATTGCAACTTGGGGGGACCAATTCAACTTTATCTTCTCATGTCTATTCAGGTTCAAGCAAAAAAATTGAGATTCCTAATGGCAGGGTAATGATCTTTTGAACCAAATTACTTCCACATGCTTTCCTATATGTTTAGGGTGTTTCATTTTATTGATCTATTATTTTTGGGGATTCTTGTTAGGTTGGGGTTATCATTGGTCGAAGCGGAGAAACAATAAAATATCTTCAGGTGCAATCTGGAGCCAGGATTCAAATAACTAGAGATGTAGATGCTGATCCTAATTCACAGACGAGAACTGTAGAACTTATTGGCACCACTGAGCAGATTAGCAAGGCTGAACAATTGGTAAATGAGGTCCTTTCTGAGGTAGGTGATGGAATACATCAGGAAGGAATGATGATTCTGATATATTGCTTTCTCATTTTCTAATTTTGCATTACTTTTTAAGGCTGAAAGTGGTGGCTCTGGTCTCTCCTCTGCTCGAAAATTATCTACTGTTCCTGCTAATTCTGAGCATTTTTCAATGAAAGTTCCTAACAACAAGGTTGGTATCCTCGCCAAACTATATCAGAGTCAATTACTTTGTTCTTTCCGCTTAGACCTATTTTAATTTGTTGTTTATTATATTCAGGTTGGCTTAATAATTGGCAAAGGTGGTGAGAATATAAGAAACATGCAGACTACTTGTGGTGCACGTATCCAGGTCTGAATGCCTCTATTTTATGTGATTTTTACGTATTTTCAGCATAAATAAAAGGTTTTTAATTGTTATCACTCTTTTCTGTCGGTGCCAGACATGGAATTTTCCTTTCTACATGCTGGACACTATTGTTCTTTCAATGGCATTTCTGTCATTTTTTGGTAGTGATTTTAACACCCAAGCCAATCACTGAACAGAATCTCTCAGCACTTGTAGTTTTGGAGTTTGTTTTAACCAATCTGGCCTAAAATAAGTTGATCAACTGCAAAAATAAAAATATCAAAGCTTAGCTAAAAAGCAAAACATACAAGAATGTGAAAATTTCAGACTTACCTAATGAAAACTCTCAAGCACAGGTTCTTGAGTATTTTATTGGTTCAATGTGGTTCTTGTCAGTTTTATAAATTTTCTCCATACACTAAAAGCTAATTTAGAAGGAATTGTACTTATACTCAACAACAACAACAACAACAACAAAACCTTCATCCGCTAAGTGTTGTCGGCTACATGTATCTTTTTTCTCCATTGCGTCCAATTTAGTGTCATATTTTCATTTAATTATAATACATTAAGATCATTTTTTATACAATATGCCCAAGTCATCCTTGGTCTACCTCTGTCTTTCTTAACATAAGTTGAATCTAAAACATCCACTCTTCTAATCAGATCATCACATGAAAGACATTTAATCCGACTAAACCATCTAAGACGACTCTCTAATTTTGTCTGTCATTAGAGCTACGCCAGCTCTATCACAGATATATTAGTTTCTCTAAGTGTAAAGCCAATCATCCGCCCAATCATTCTCATCTCAGCGTCATCTCGGCAACACTTAACTTATTATTATGCTTCTCTTTTAAAGGCCAACATTCAGCGCCATAGAGCATTGCAGGTCTCACCACCGTCTTATAAAATTTTCCTTTCAGTCTTAGCGGTACTTTTCTATCACACAAAAGGCCCGAAACACTCCTGCACTTCAACCAACCAACTTGAATTCTACTTATAACATCCCCATCAATATCACCAAATTGTACATATACTCGAATAGACAAAATATCTCATAGCATCTAGTTTAGGCAATCCTCTTGGAACCTTGCTTACAATATTTAAGTAGTCAATATCAATATGAGATGAATACATTGGCTAAAGATTAAGGTATGGTTTTGGAAATTTTATTGATATTCTTTTCTAGTACTTTTTTTGAAATTTTTTTCTTTTTTATTGAATTTTGCAGAAAACCTGATTAGAACATGATTTAAAAGCCGCTTTTTTGTTTTTGTAAGTTTAAAATTGTTTTAATAAGATTTGCATTCTCTTATCCATAAAGAGTTGAGTAGCAAAATTAAATGTGTTCTAACTTAGACCCAACATCCAAAAGTGCAACGTATGACATAATCAAATTATAGCCCAATACTTATGAAACTTCATCTGCGTTTCAAATTTATACCTGCCATATAATCTGGAGGACATCTAAGATACTTTAGGGGTCATGCTTGCACTTTCCATACCGTTCTTAAATAAAGATAAGTTGGTGAATGCTTTTGGTCTTGAAAAGAAGATAGTCTATAAAAAGCCTACCTAAAGAGAGAGGATGGTTGGAATGTAGTGAAGAACTGTATTTCTATTATTCACACACACACGCTTTCTCTTATCTGCCTTATTAGATTGATTTTGGTGTCACAAACCTGCTCTTATTTTCATCCTCTTGGGCCAATCAAGGATCATAATACGGTCATATCTTTTAATTTTAGGCATGAAGGTGCTTGTGAAGGATATTAAAGAAGACAAACCTTGGTGGGGGTTTTTTTGTATATTATAATTTTAAATGATACGGCCTGTATTGGAATTGGAAAATTAGAATAATAAATGATATATGACTAGTTAAATGAATTGAGTACATGATGTTATAATTTTAATGAATATTGAACTCATTGACTCCAACCTTTCATGTCAGGGCATATAGGGCAATAGAACCACTTTCTATCATTTTATGCTACCTCTTTGCCATACTCTTGGGAATCTAACGGGGAGGTAGGTGCATCTATTTTGTCAAATACTTATTCAACAATTTGATTAGATTTGTTGATTGAACTAATTTATTACTTCCATGGTTTTAAACAATGGATTGGATTGGCCGGTTCGACTAGTTCAAACATAAACCGGTCCTCTGATTTGTTTGGTATGTTTTTCATAACCTTTTTTACATAGAACCAAATATAATTAATTAGAACCAACAATTGAACCAGAGAATTGGTAAATCAATATGATTTTTGATGAATCACTCAGTTCTAATATCGATCATTTTTATTTTTTTATTTTTTTATTTTTTGTTCATTTGATTAAAAATAGAAGATTTGTATTAAAAATAGAATAATTGAAATATCATGCTTTTAAATTTTGATTTAGGATCATATTCAAAATAATTGTGAATGAAGTGTCCTGATTTATAAAGTTGTATATTGAATTGGTGAAGATATCATTATTTCATCATTATCATATCATGATGACATCCTTTAAATCATATTAAATTAATTTAATATTTATTACAGATCTGGTTTAAGCCAGTGGAATTTTGAATTTCTTCTTTCTAGTTTAATGTCTCCGGTCTACTTCTAAAAACCTTGATACCTTCTGCAAAGAAAATTGAGGGTCCAATTTCTTTGATTTATAATGAATCGTTGTAGTAAAACTTGCAAAAAAATCAGGGATTTATATGCCAATTTCACTGCAAGTGATTACTGTTATGAAGGAAAACTGTAGAGAATGCCAGTTTATGTGGGATTAATGAAGGGTGAGATGCGCTTGGAAAAGGTAATTACATTGCCAGCTTGGAAAAAGTAATCACTAGGTCATTGCTGTCAGATTATGTGGGACTGACAAAGCATGAGATGTGCTCACAAACTCTCGTGTCCGTAAACCTATTTCAACTTATGTGTTGGTGATTCCTGGGAAGAGCTTTACGTATATTTGGTTTGTGGTGTGGAGGTTATACATGTGCAGCTTGGCCAATTTGTTTGGAACATTTGTGCCTTTTCATTTAAACCTTGGTTTATTACTTTAAGCTTGAGTCACTGATCTGCTTTTTGAATCACCTCGTATGAGTTGTAGTTAGCAAAAAGTCATTAATTAGTTAAGAATAAAACATAAAGATATACGTGGTGTTGCCTACTCAAAATTAACATCTATTTACTGGAAAAAATATCATGTTTTCAAGAAGTTATTTTTTCTTTTGCCGGCTTTTTTGTTTCTCTTCTAATTTTTTGGCGCTCACAATAATTTGTCGTCTGACCTTTTTTTTCCTCAATAAATTTAAGTGCTATAGGATGCAATTTTGCGACTTCTCATGAAACTACATTAAATGTTTTTATTTCTTTACCTTCCCTTTGGATAACTTTTACCTTTTTATGAAGTTGTGCTTCTACTTTTACTTTTAGACTTTATTTATGCTTAAATTCTGTCTTAAAGCAGGTGATACCACTGCATCTACGTCCAGGAGATCCCTCAACTGAGAGAACCGTACATATAGATGGCACGAAAGAACAGATTGAATTAGCAAAACAGTTGGTCAATGATGTTATAAGTAATGAGGTATAAACAGGGCTCTAAAGGTTGAAAAAAATTAGACCACTTTTTGGTTAAATTTATTTTGCTTTGATGAATTTATATTGTTTGAATGAAGTTCAGTTCTGCAAGAGAATTAAAGCAAAATAAAAAATCAATAATCAGTTAAGGTAAAAATTAAAATTTGTAGTTAAATATTTTTTAAATGTATTTTATTATCAAGAATTGCTAGTGGCTGCTTCATAATAACGGAATTTGAATTTCTTTTTAGCTTTGGCTGCTTCATAATAACGGACTTTGAATTGCTTTTTAGCTATCATCAATGAATTTGAACAGTTCCATAAAATGTATGCTATTCAATCTTAAAATGTAGTCTGAATGATCTACTGAAATGATTAGTAAGTTGGCATAAATGATCAAGTTTTCTGAAATTGTTTTTCAAATGTTAATTGTGCATGTCTTCATTTATGACTTGTCATTATTTTTTTACTCTTCAAATGTCAAAGTTTGATTTTTTGCCATCTGATTTGATTCCTGTCCACATCATCATGCGTACAACATATATGAAGGTTCTTTTTAGCATATTGTTGTTTTCAGCTCCACCAGACTGTATTGTACTGTGTTGTTGACTAAAGTGGATGGATTTCTTGCTAAAAGTATGTTATGGTGGTTGTCAAAGGTGATGGAAATATTGCAGCTACATGGTCAACAATTGTTGTGGCGCTTATATGAGTTTATAGAATCATTTAAATTGTATATAACTCTTAATAATAATAATGCATTATAGTTAATGTAATAACAAATCTATAATTCATGAAAGCACCTTTCGAAGGAGCTATCCACAATATATTGCAAAGAAAGCTGCTTTACAACTTTTATACAAATAAATCTCTTCCCCTAGCCATCCAACTGAATGCCTTAAAACTGCTCCTGCTATTCCTGGGGACCAGGATATGGAAGGAACATAAATTTATACGTAATATACGTAATAGAGGCTGAGAATAGAGGCTGAGTATCATGTTTTTTTTTTATTTTTTTTTTATTTTTTGTTTTTTATTTTCTTTTTGTGCTGTAAAATAATCCATAGCTTTCACAGCGGAAAGTCATTCTCTATATTTCAAATTTTCTTGCCACGAATTGCAAGTTAAATTGTGACATAACGACGAGCATATAATGAAGTATATTATAAATTGATCCTAAAAAGTGATGTAGAGTTAATTTTATATAAGATGTATAAAGGTTCAGTTTAGAGCTAGATGAAATAGCTATTAAGATTTGAATATATGTGGGATATTGCAATGATCTGATTAGCAACTTTTTTTTTAATTGGGTTCTTAAGATTAGGTGGATGCCAAATGATTGTAGAAGTATTTTGATACCAATATTTAATAACTAATATACTATTTAACATTTTTTTAATATAAACAAATCAAATTTATAAATTATATAATGAAGCTTGACCAAGTAATAATTACATCAAATTTGGAGAAACATTTTGATTTTATGCTGTAAAGATCTACTATGTAAAGCTATTTTTGTATTAAGATAATTAAGAGAAGTACAGAGAAGAAGGAAAGATCTTTCATTTGGTTTTGATGTTTCGTGGTTTGTTCCACAATTATATCTAATAATTACATCAAAATTGGAGAAGCAATTTGATTTTATGCTAGAAAGATCTACTATGTAAAGCTATCTTTGTATTATGATAATTAAGAGAAGTACAAAGAAGAAGGAAAGAACTGTCATTTGGTTTTGTTGTTTCTTGAAAAAGCATATCAACACCATAGTATTTTATGGTAAATAAGTTTGTGTTAAATTTTTGTTAAATTAATTAAAACTATGTATGATGTAGCATTATCTCTATTATTAGATATAATTGTGGAACAAACCATGAATTTTCATTTACTTGGGCTTATATCAACGATTAATGTTGAGACCATATTTTGTTACATGGATATATAAATGCTTACAAAATATGTTCAAAGTGTGGTGCCTTGGTGTATGCTTTTGCATGTACTATAATTTTGAATACTGATATTTATTGCAGTAAGTTAAATATTAAGGAAATGCTTTAAAGTTAGAGACCTTATAACCAGTAGAGTAAACATCCTGTATATGATATGTTATTAAAATTGGTTGATGTTAACAATCATTATTCAATATCTGTGAAATATAATGTGATATTTATGTATAATTAATTTAAGTATGTTGGATTTATTATTACAACAGAATGGATATCTCGTTGATGGTATATGTTATAAAATTAAAGCTGGATGATTAAACTAGAGAACTGCCTTTGGAGTTTTATGTGAGAAGAGATTGTCATGTAGTCTTAAATATGACATTTTATAAAACGTATGCTGCTGAAATTGAATGAAAAAAAAAAAAAAACATTTATTTATAGCTTGAGTGTGGCAGAATTGAGAATACTACGATGGATGTGTGACCTAACTCAGAAGGATAAATTAATGAAATATTATATTTGAGAAATTATTGGAGTGATATCTTTTGAAGATTGTGAGACTTAAAGTAGATTTAGAGTCTGTTTGGGGCAGCTGCAGCTTATCCAGATAAACAATTTATCATGATAATCTGTTGATTTGCAGCTTATCCTGATAAGCTGACTAGCTGTTTGGCTTGTGTGTTTCGAAAAAAACTGATTCTGGATAAATGACCATTCTGCCCTTGTTTTGGATAAGTTGTTTAGCTGTTTGATTTGTGCGTTTGTAAACAGTTGATTTGCAGTTTTTTGTGGATAAAATACCATTCTAACAGACGATGTGTTGTTGTTTATATTAGAACTTTAACGGCTATACATTTGACAGTTCAAAACAAAAAATATAATTTCATAACAGTACAAAATTATGATAATTTCAATAATTTTATTTAATTATAAAAAAAGTCACCCAAGACCACCATCTTCGAGATAGGGTGTCTTTTGCATAATCTCTCGGGACAAAGATCTGTAAAGTGCTACCATTGAATTTCATGAAGTAAACCAATGAGATTAAAGCTTCCAAAAGTGAAAAAAGGGAAAAAGGTATTAGAGTCAACTATTAACATCTTAAAAAAAAATCACAAAGAAAATGATAAATGAAATATGATTTAAAAACACCAGGAATCACCACTGCTTAGTTTATTAGCGAAACCAGGAGCCTATAATGGATGTTCTGGATTTAGAGCAAACACCATCAATTTAAATTCAAACATCACTCCTTGAAACTTGTCAAAAGCAAATTTAAACAGTTTTAAAAAACAATGTCATAAGTGCAACAAATCCCGTTCCCAATCCATCTTTTTTTCAAATTTTCAACAAAAAAAACTTACCATAGTTAAGTGAGAAAGGGTGCTTTAGACTAATAATAGACATCGGAACAAAATAAACACAATTTCATTGAAGGAAAGTTTGTTCTTCATATTATTTAACTTTTTATGCTATTTCATTGGATTTACTTTTCTGTAACTTAAGGTTTAGTTCAAGTAATACATTCATAAAGAGCAAAAGTTTTATGAACCTCTCTCAGGCTATTCCATATATGTTTCTTAGAATAATATATGAAACATAGTATTAAATATCATACTTCCATTGACAAGCTGAAGACAATTTGGTTAGAAATTAGCTTATCAGTCTGAAACTAAAAATTGAAAAAAAAAAAAAAAAACATTTGGAAAACTTGCATGCCTACAACTTAATTCCTCCATATTTACATATCTAACACCTAAAGTTCAATTTTTACATATATGCCACCTTATCTATGCATTAACATATGTATTTCAATATTTCAAACATAAAAAAGCTGTATTTTTTATTTGATATGAAAGATTTGGGCATTACAAACGGTTCAAAATAAAGTTCAGGTGTTAGATATGTCATTACATAGGAATTGGGTGGTATGTATGTAAATGCCCCAATATTTTTTGTTTAATAGAATACAAAGCAATACCTACAAGGTTGCAGCAATAAGCTCACCGAAATCCCTCCTGCAAAGGCTCCCAAAGTAGTATAGAAGTTGTTTTATAAATTGTTCTTGATCCTTATCTTGCAAAATCACTAAAAGCGGAAATATATGTAAATTAATTAAGCTTTAACAACAATGATTTGAGAGCAAATAAAGAATTTACATACAAGCAAGGGGATTATAGAAGTCTCGACCAACCCAACGCTAATTCCTGTGTTGACCAAGGTGCGAGCGAAAACACCTGCGAGCTTTAATCTAAAACATAAAAGTTGAAGACAAAGCTCCAGCTCACTCTATCTCATCCTTCTTCACCTGCTCCAGCATCCTCTGTGGCTGACCAGAGTGTCTTGGTGCTGCGGGGAGCACCTCTTCTCTGGTGAAGCATCGGGAGAGTGGAAGAGAATCTACATATTCGAAGACGTCAAGATTGCTTGGAGATAGAATCGGCGCAGCGAGATTTGATGCGGGAGGAGGGAGGAGAAGAAATTTTTACTAGGGGGGCGACGATCGGGTAGCGTGGGCAGGGAGGTAATAGCTGGTGTGTGAACGCGGAACGCAGGGGTAATACCGCGGTCGGCGTTTAATGTATTAGATAAAACTCCATTTTTAAAAACGCACGATAAACACACGAATCAAACAGTGAGGCGCTGCCCCAAACGGGCCCTTAGATGCTTCAACAATGCAATGAGTACAACAACAACAACAAGCAAGCCTTTATCCCCACTAAGTGGGGTCGGCTACATGAATCCTTTTTCTCCACTGTGTTCTATTGAGTATCATATTTTAAGATCATTTTTTATACAATATGCCTAAGGCTTTTTAGGTCTACCTCTACCTTGATAAAATGAGTAGAAAATGCATTATTTAGATAAATTGATAAAGTTACCCTTAGATTACAGTGTTAGAAATTGTTCAAAATGATTTGCTAAGAATCTTTCAAGCTCGTCATACAATACTCAACGTGAATGAATGATAAATGAGAATGTATATCACTGATCTCAAATAGTTGGGATAAAGCAAATGATAATGATATATTGCTAAAGCTAGAGTCTGTTGCCTTTTCTCTCTAATTAGCTAGTGATGGTAGGGAAAATTGAATGCTCTCTTGTACTGATGAACTTCTCTTATCCATTAAGTTATATATTCCATTCCTGCCCTAATTTTTTGTTGCTTTATAATTTTGTATTGAAAATTTCCGCTTTTTTATATATTGATGTTCATAATTTTTCACAGTTCTCCATCTTTGACTGCTAAATTGCTTTGTATATATGAAATGATAATATAATTTTGTTTGTTGTCCAATTTATCTGTTTTGAACCATGGTTCTATTATATCAAATATCAATCTTTTCTAGACAGTTTTCCATTTTTTTGTTGTCCTTTGTTTAGGACATTCATAAAACCTATTCTGAGCAAGTATAAGAAGCACTTATTGTTGCATATTTCAACACTTGTATATTTATGTTTACCTTATTTCAAGTTTTTTTCCCATGCCTATTACTTTATATATCTTTGAATGTTTAAAAACAATGTGATGCTTATATGCTTGCATGGATGCATCTCTTTATATATTTTTTTATATGTTTATATGTGAGTTTTCATGGGTATGTTTGGCTGTCCGGGTACTTTCTATATCTATATATATATGGGTGAGCGGGATAGGGAGAGTGAGATTTGTGCATTGTTGGTTTGTGAATCATTTTGCTCGTGCTTTAATGTGTGCATATTTGTGAATAGATAGAAAGGATACTTTTACTTCTCTTTTTCTTTTATTCTCTAATTGCGAAATTAGACTTACCTTTTACTAATTCTGTCAGTTACTTGAAAATTTTGAGTTGAACTTTCTGCCTTTAGTTAGACGAGGCTGATGTAATGCTGAGCTTCATTCTCATTTTTTCTTAAATAAAATTCTGAAAGGATTGTAGACATCAAGCTTTCTTGAAGTGAACTTTGTTTTACTTCAATCTCATTCGGGCTCAATAATTTTTTAATGGAAGAAAGTCATACCTAGCTATCAGTTCCCCAGAATGGGGCCTCTGACATGGTATATAATTGCTTTTATTTTCTCTAATCATGTCCAACTTTGTTTTTTTTAAGTGCTGTTTTTGTAGTTGGGCAAAAAAAAATTATATTTTATATTTTGTACTAAATTGCCATTGTAAAAAATAAAAAGTACATTTATTTCTTATATTTTATCCTCTTAATGTCCCAAAAATTTATATGCACCCATCTCTTTCCTTAGCTATCTTCTTTTGTAATATATTTATTTTTATTGTTTCGTAATTGCTGTTATTTTCTTTTCCATATGGCTTTTGCTCATGATAAAGAATAGTCCTAAAATTTTGTGTTAGTTGCTGAGCTCTCATCAAGGTTCTTTATTTTTTTAACTGATTAATTGAGGCTGACATTCCCTTTTTTTTTTTTTGCATAGCCTTGACATTTTCTTTGTCTTTATTGGTTCTTCTCTTTGAACACTATCAAATAAGTTTATTTCCACAATAAATTTTATCCTAGCTGTCTTGTTCATATTATTTTCTTCATTAATCATTAACTGGTTTATGTAAATTTTGCGTACAGAGGATTCACTTTTTTCACTTTTGACTTAACAGTAAGCTGTATTTGATGGCTGTTAAGCATAGAATGCACTGGAAATTTGCATCATATGAGAAGGTTATATGCCAAGTCTTGTTAATTTACGATATATGTTTCCTATGATTGTTGAATTTTGTGTTTGCGTACACATTAATTTTCTTGGACGGAGAGATATACTAATATCCTTCTGTAGCTAATTGACAATTCATTGTAATACACACAGTGAAAATGAACTGGATGAAAAATAATTTCATGAATCTGATCTGCATCAATTATAATATTGAAATCCCTAATTGATGATTTTGATGGTGAGATAGTTGATTGAATAATTTTATGATGTAAGAATCCTCGAGCAAAATAAAATATATATGACAACCAGTTTGAATGGCTTCAATAATAATAATAAAAAAATGCAATAGTAATAGTTATTTTACTATTTTTTGTTAAATGCAGTCAGTCTATTTTTTCATCAAGTTTGATCAATGGGGAAATATTCATAGGTTTTTCTTAAATAAGATCACCAGCATGTTCTTAATTCGTGGAGAACAATCTTCCTTTTCTTTTCATATTAAATAATATTGCACTATCCTGTTATGCGTGTGGAGAGAGATATGCACCTCTGCATGTATTTAGCGTTTACAATTTCTACCATTAGTTTGTGCTTTTGTGTATCTGTCAAGAAAAAAAAAATATCATCACGCTTATCCATAAATAATGTATGTTTTATACAGGTGCTTTGATGAATGGTATGAACAGGTTTCTGATTAGCATATTTGTATATGTCAAAATTGAACATGTTATGTTTGAATTCATGTCGTCTTTGGAAGTATTATGGAGTTTTTGAGTGTGTTAAGAAATTATGTTTCCTAAAGAGTTACGGTGCAGCATCTCTTTAGATTTAATTTTACTGTGTGGTTTCAAAATGGTTACTGAAATTGTAACAAATTTCCTCACCCCTTCAGCTATTCAGGAACTGCCTGTGGAGCTACACTAGTTCAAATCTTGTTCTGTAACTATAATCTGCCTTCCATTCCTGCAGGTTGACTTCCTAGACAATTCCGTTCTTCAAACTTCTGTTTGAAATCTGGTAGTTCATGCAATTGAATTTGTTTTCTCTTCTCTTTCATTATCACCAACTCCACATGATCATGCTCTATTTTTCTTTTTTAATTATTTAAAAGAATCTATTAGCTATTATAAATTATATTGATGGTGCATAGAATCTGTTCGTGTTTTTCCTTAAATCTATTTATTTTATAATACTGTCCTAAACCTATTGCTTTATCGTTTTATTCTTCTGTATCTATGTTCTCTCCAATTGAGATATCTGTGATTTGATTCTTTTGATTAAACTATATATTTTTGTTGCACGTGGCAATGTATATACATGTTCTCTTAGAAATGTTTGTTTAGGCTGTGCGGTACTTTCTTCTAGTCCAAATAAGTTAGGACATGGGAGAAGAGGGGACATCAGATGTGTGCCTTGGGAGTTATCATCTAATTTGGTAAGTTGGTCTTTTATTTTATTCGAATGAATGCTTAAATGCTTAATCTTTGAATATTAAATGCCAGACACTTCTTCAGTACTGATTCCATTGTATTGAATGTTGTCCCATTATGTCTTGCATGTTTTTATGATTCAATAAGATTTATAAGATGACATGGATGATGCAGAACCGTGCTCGAAACCCACAAACAGGGGGTTATCACCCGCCCAGGCCGCCAACGAGCTGGGTTCCCTCAGGAGCACCACAACCTGGTTATGGCTACATGCAGCCAGGAGCTTATCCTGGTTCTGCACCTCAATATAACATGTCTCAGCCACCTTATATGGGATATCCACCTCAAGCTCAACAAACCGCCCAAGGTACAGGATATGATTACTATAACCAACAACAACAGCAACAACAACAGTTGCCGCCACCACCAGCACAGGCTGGGGGAACCTCAATTCCCATGGATGGCAACACTTACAACTACAGCCAGATTCCAACAGCCTACAACGGGCAAGCAACATATGGTGAATCCACGTATTCTCAGGCTGCTGTTGGGTATCAGCAAAGCTATGGACAGGTGGGTGATTATAATCTAGCTGGACCTCAGGCTGGCTATACTCAACCAATTTCAAATCCTCAAGCTGCCTATAGCTCTGCTTCGTCTTATGGTAATACTGCACAATCAACTCAAGAGGGATCTAATATCCCCAACTATGGCGTTGAAACTTCTACCCCACAAGCTCCAACTGGTCAACAGCCAGGTGCCACAACACAGCCTGGATATGCTGTGACTCCTACATCTCAGCCAGGATATGCTAGCCAACCTTCTGCTCATGCTAACTACTCCCAATCTGCACCTCTGCAGCCATCTCAAGCCGGCCTTGCTCAGCCTGCTTATGGCCATTCTGCACAGGGATATTCCCAGCCTCCAACTGCTCCATCTGGTTATGCTCAGGACCCTCAGCAGCTCCCACCTGGGTATGTTTCTGGGGTTCCGCCGGCGGGCTATGGACAGACGTCTTATGGTGGTTATACTCAGCAGCAAACTCAGGTGTATGGTGATGCATACTCTGGCAGTGCTTTTTCGCAGCCTCCATATTCTACCGATGGCATACCTACAACCTCCGCGGAACTGGCCCCCTCAAGTGGAGCGACAAAAGGTTCTCACCAGTGTTGATACGTGCTATTTTTATTTATCCCCTCTGAATTACTAGTTATCATGGAAATGTTGTGGTATAAGGTTTTGACTCTATTTTGGAGTTGTTTTAGTTTTAAGTCTAAGATTTGTTATGAATATTTTTAATTTCTTTTGAAACTAAATGCTATTTTAGCATTAGGATGCTTTAATCTTGATTGCAGATGAAAATATTGTTTTTCCTGGCTTCCTGTGCCCCCGTAGATCATTTTTGATATTTTTTGGTGCACATATTAATGATTTCTTACCACCGCGCAACATGTTAATTGTGTTGTGGCATCATAGTAGTTGACTGGCAGAGCACTATGGTTTGAATTTTCTGCTACGTTGTTGCCCTGTACTTATTATATAAAGGATTAATGCCATTTTATTTAAAAACTAATATTTTTGAGAATATTTACTTCGATTAAAGTTTTTTTGCCATCCAAATTGTCATAATCTTTGTTAGTATTTAGCACTAAAGGAAAATATTAAACCACAGCTTGTTAAGTTTATTGCTTCTCTTTTGTTGTTATCTTCAAATTTAACATTTTATATTTCAGAGTTGTCAACTTAATTATCTTGGGGGAATGTTAATTATTTCCAACTTTTTTGAATGCTACTAATATAACTTACAGACTCCACATGCATCTGTAGTCCAATGGTAGGGTGCCGCGTGTCATTGGGTCTCGTCATTTTTATTACGGTGGAACCCACTTGACATGTGGCGCCCTATCATTAGACTTCAAACGTAAATAGAGTCCGGAGTTCATATATAATATTTTCTCGACAGCAGGAAAAACACTAGAAAATTTAGTAGGTAGATAAAAAATAGAGGCAAGTCTAAACACTTGATCTTTAATGGGCTTAGGTAAAGCACACTCTAGAATAAGATAATTTTTCAATCCAAAGTTCCATTAAACTTTGTATGCGAATAAAGCAAATTATTAACTAACTTTACAAATCAATGTTTAAATACCAAAATCAAAGTAATCAATAGATCCAATGCAAGCATTAACTTTAGGGCATTACCTAGGCTCTTTGTGGGGCATGGTGGTTAGCCTTTTAGGGTTTGAAAAGTTACAGAGAAGATTGAAAACAGTCATAAATTTGATTCGATTGGAATGTATGCTAGGATTGCCTCATATTTTTAATGGCCTATTACATTGATTTGATACAGAAAAAGGTTAAATTAGTAGAAAACTTTATAGACAAATGCAAATTTATTTGAACTATATTCAAATGAAAAAAAATTCAAAATTTGTTCATTTTGCTTAGCTCAAATTGAAATTTAAACCAAAATTTGTTTTAATTTTCTTTAGTTTCTTAGATGTAGAAAGAGAAAAGTGTAGCCGCAAATTTTTAAAAATGTGATTGTAAAATGATGATTAAGAAAATAATTTTTTAGAAAGCTCTGTAGTAAAGTTTATAAATATATACTTTTTCCTAGCAGCTTTCTTATAGTCATTGTACTTTAATATGTCAAGTTGAAGAAAAAAAAATTCCAACCATATAAATTTCTTGAAAGGGACAAGAATATAATTCCTCGATAGAGTTGTGATGGGAGGTCTGAAATAAAAAAATTGGTAGAAACTGCTACAAAAAAGCCCTATAAAGTGGGTAGAAATAAACTTATTTTAGTGAGAATCCATCCTTGGCATAACGACACATAATGCAGTATTTCTCAAATGCGTGCTAATTAAACAAATAATAGCTTCATTTTTTTTATTTTTTTTAATTTTTTTATATACATATGATCTTATGCTATCAGAGTACTCAGAATATGGAAAGGATGGAGTAACTGAAAGACTACCTAAGAAATGACGAAAAGACACTTATTGTGTTGTTATAGTAAAATAACTGTAATAGCATCACAATAAAACCGCAACACCACTAGTACCACAGTTTTGTTTCAATAACCCCGCAAAACAACTCAAATAACACCATAAGAACATATGCAATCATCGTCAATAGCACCGCTTTGAGGATAACACAAATAACACCGTTGTAATACCGCAATAACCCCTCAAAATAACTCCAATAAAATCACAATAACACCTGTGAACAACGCCAATAACATCATCCGGACAATCAAGTAAATAATAGCGCAGTATTATTCGGGTGCTATTATGATATTATTGGCGTCTTTTTATTCAAATATATGTGATAAAGATTTTATTAAAATCCGGGCTATTTCTGCAAGTCTTTATAATATGCGGTCCAGAATATGCGGCTTTCTCCGTCAAAACTGATTCATCTAGCGGTCTGCAGTCCAGCACTGTTCAATTCTGCCATGCAATTTTTTATTTAGAATAATATTTTGTAATTTAAATGCACATTTATTGCTGTGCCTCCACTAATAGTCCCTTTTGTTCTGCTATTCACTGTCCCTTTTGTTCTGCTATTCACTGCACTGATACTCCGAATTAGAAGAGAGATAAAGATATCTGTGCCGGCACCTTCAATTGATGTAATCATCTTAAGGGTGCATTTGCATACATGCCATCAAATTTTTATATAATTACATATCTAACACCTAAACTTCATTTTTTTAATTTTTATACCATCCAAACCTTTCTTAACACAAGAAGTAACTTTATTTTAACTTCTTAAATGTAAAACACACCTTTTCATGCATAAATAAGATAACATATATGAAAAGAATTGAAATTTAAGTTTTAGATATGTGTGCACCTAAAACACATAAGCACAAATTTTGAGAAAATTTTAAAGGTCAAAGGAGTGGTCAAAGAGGACCCACCAATGATTAAAATATATAGCACATAAGCCTGAAACTTTCATATGCTCAGTTCCCTCAGAGAATAATCGAAAGCTGATCAATAAACCACAAAAGCCGATCGACCGGTCAAAGATTCCGCCGACTAACAATAGCTTAAGTCGGTCGGCCACTTGAACTCAATAGAGCTTGCCGTGCGGCCCCTTGCCGATCCAAAGCTTATCGGTCACAGGGGGCGAATTGACAGAAGGAAATGAGTTGTGTAACATCTTTATTAAAATATGGGTAAATAATGACATGACAAATATAGATTCAACAATATATACATATATAAGAATTAAGTGGCCATTATGTATGTAAATCTTTCTACTCTTAAATAGAAATGGAGAGCAGTATTAAATTATATTTTTTTCCACCTCTAAAACATTTTCTTTTTTAATGCGCGGATAATGTAATTTTCTTCCACGTTCTAGAAAGTGAGAAATTCTTTGGTTTTTGTTGTTCATTTACACAATTCACAATAATAATGCAATGAGATTCTCTTTATTTTTTTAACCATAATTTATGATATAAATACATTAATTTCTTAGCTAAATTCAATTATCTATTAAATCAATGCACAATATGAAATATAAAATAAAGGAAAATTTACATGCATACCACTCAATTACTATGTATTTACATATCTAACAACTAAATATCAATTTTTAAGTGAATACCATTTACCTATGCATGCAAAGGTGTATTTGGTTTGTATAAATAGATATATTTACGCACGTACCAACCAACTCATATGTATTTACATATCTAACACCTAAACTTTACTTTCTATTCATATCACCCAAATATTTCATTTCATACCAAAAAATACCACCATTTTGACTTTTAAAAAGTGAGCTAGTATCACCATAGTGTTTGGAAGCTAGCGTTGCCGGACCCGATTCAAGTATAAAACTCAAGAGCACGACACAGTAGTGCTTAGATGCAACAACCTGATGCCCCTTTAGAGCATCGCGGCACCCTAGCGCTACTATCGCGGCTGCTCGATGATGGTAACCAACTTTGAACAGTATTTCATTTGAAGCTTCAATTTTGCTGATAGGAAGGCGAATGGTTTCAATTTTTTCTAATGCAAAAGAGAGGGGATGAGTGTTTTGGAGTTTCCCAAGAATAGAAAGGCTTGAGTGTGGTGTAATGTGTACGATTCTCCTCATTTTCTCCATAGTGGATATTTTTGGTGTGGTTAGGGTCGAACCCATGTATGGTTGAGGGGGGCAATTGCAACCCCACCCTTACATTCAAATTTGTTACTTATTGGGGGGGGGGGGGGGGGGGGGGGGGGGATATCAGTTTTGTTCCTTCTGAAATATCACTTTGCTCTTCGTTGCCCTAGTTTGTTCACGTTGGGTCTAAGGGGGCAGTCTGCCCTCCCTAAGAAACGAGGCTGGTTCTACGCCTGTGTGGTGTGGTTCTGTGTGTTTTTCTCGCTATATTGCTTAGAAGACAACGTCACCACGCCCGATTCAAGTTTAAAACCCAAGAGCACGACACTGTAGTGCCCAAATGCAACGCCCAGATGCCCCTTTGAAGCATTGTGGTGCCTTGGTGCCACTATTGTGGCTCTCTAATGCTAGTAACCAACTTTGGGCAGTTTTTCATTTAAAGTTTCAGTTTTCCTGATAGGAAGGTGATTGATTTTGACTTTTTCTTATGCAAAAGAGAGGAGAGAAGTGTTTTGGAGTTTCCAAAGTATAGAAATGCTGACCTCCTAAAATATAAGTTTTGCCCCTTTTGAAATGTCACTTTGCCTATCATTGCCCTAGTTTGGTCCACATTGAGTCTAAGGATGCATGTATACTCGAATCAACTAAGCATAGTCGGCCACGAGCCAAAAGTCAGTTGGGCGATAAGCCTATACTTATAAAATACTAGAAATGTCATAGTACGGCTCCCTTCCAAAGAAGAGCAAAAAATGTAATATCACCGTTGTTCTTTTTTTCACTCTAAATAATACAATCATTTTATAAACATGATGCACTTCATCACCGTTCATTACTATTCATAGGCAATCTCATATTCAACAGTGGCATACATGTAAAAATTGAACTTAGGGGTCAAATATATAAATACATGGGAATCAAGAGGCATGCATGTAAATATTCCTAAAAATTCAAGTGCTGGTGTTTTTGGTCTTCTATGAAAGATATGTCTGGTATAAACGTAAAAAAATAAAATTTAGGTGCTAGATTAATAGAATAAGAATTGGGTTCTAAGTTCTGACAAACCATTGGAGTGAAAAGTGAAGGTGTTAAGTACACTAATCCAGTTTTGGTGCTACATATAAATCTCACTTCATGGTGGTCTAATTGGGCTGCTGTGCACAATTCATGAATATGGAAATCTTTCTCTTCTTTCTTCTGCTACAGAAAATGCTTCTTATGGATGCTTATTGGGCAGTATCGGCCGCCGTCCGAAAAGGATTTGCAGATAAGCCTTTCACACCAATCACTGATCTATACGTTATCTATACTGATTGGAAGATCCACCAATCAATGGTTCTTTATTTTCAAAAACCAGATTAATTTAATATTAATGATTCATTTATATGGATTAATTAAGTTTTAATTCCTTGTATCTGCTGACAGAATGGTTGTACTGCTAAACTTTGATTTCATGCAACTATTTTCTTGTCTGCCAACTTTGATTCCAATGTTTGGCAAACATTGCACAAAGATCTTCTTTAAATACTCTGTATATTATTTTGACTTATTCTTCTTTATTTTCGTCGTGGAATTGTTTGCTGCTACCATTCGCTAATATATCTCGTTGTAAAAATACTTTTTATTATCATAGAAGTGTCTCAAAGTTGAGGAGCAATAAGAAAGTTATGGCTAAAGTTGCATTTGGGGGAGCAGTGTGGTGGCGGTGTGACGTCTCTTTATTAACCTGACCTGGCTAAAAGCAGTATCTGCTAAAAATTTACATAGGATTATTTCGAAAATAAAATAAAACTGTAATAGCCATCGCATTGTTTAAGAATTACTCAATATCAAAAGTTTGTGGAGCCCAATTCACATGAATAGGTGGAGGATAGCAACCATAAAATGGTGATATATCATGTTAATGTCTATAAGATGAAGTGTGCACATTTCATTGGACTCTATTTTATCCATAAATAGAAAAAAAGTTATATTTTTTTTAATATTTATATGCAAATAACAGTGGCCAACTCTTGTACTCAACCAATTGAATGAGTAGCATATTATTGGTTGGTTAGTGATGTAAATGAGTCGAATCTAAATCGAGTCACTCTCAGCTCGAACTATATCTTGATTAATTAATCGAGTTTGAGTTCATGCTTAAGCTTAACTCTACGAGTCCAAACCGATTTTTTTAGTGTCAATGAAGAAAAAAAAAATTAATATAATCTAGTGTTATATTAACATAACATATGTAATGAATATTTAGGGGATACTTAACAGAAACTCATCCAATCATTTTTTTTAATATTTATAATAATTTTAAAAAAAATTCTTATATTTGAATATATTGTAAGTATGTTTTTATTAATTATTTTTTAAACTAACCGGCTCACATGCTCAAGATTTGAGTAGAGGTTGGCTTTAGCTTGGTATGTTAGCTCATCGAGCTCAATTCACGAGCCACTTATTGAATCGAGCCCGAGCAACTCACAGGCCAGCTTGACTCACTTACAAAAATATAATACAAATCAGTGGTCACGGTCACACATATCAAAAAATGCTTGCTCCCAAATACAGCATTTTCCACTTGCACAAACAATTTGGGAATTTATATGCATAACGTGCATTTTTATAAATTTATGGATTTAACTTTCAAATTTTGATATTTACTTGTATCACGATCTTTATCCTCATATCAAAAATATTATCAATATTCATTTTTCTTTAAACATATCTTCTCAAGCATATATTTTAAACTTACTATAATATTAAATTTTAATCTTAGTAAATATTAAAATTTAGACGTCAGGTATATAAAACATCAAAACTGTGGTAAATTTGGAAAAAAAGGACCATTTTTATAGATACAATGGGGTTACATTCAACATATACAAAATATAAATAAAAATATGCAAAAAAAATATATTTTTGTTTATCAAAATGTAATAATGAAATATATAAATTGGTGTATTGTGCCAGTAGATCAATATTATAAAAAAAAAAGTGAAAATTAATAATTAACATTTATTTCATGAAATGCAATTAAGATATATACAGTACTCAAAACTCACATATCAACCTGTACGTACCAATGAAAATAGCATTAATTTCTCAAAGTGTCCAACTAAGTACAACTTACTTTTCATCTGATTAATTAAACAAATTAAGTACAACTAAGTATAATTAATCAACAGAAGTAAACATTGTTCCTCTTCTTCTTCTTAGCAGCGACCTTCTTCTGAGCAAAATTTTTCATTCTCTTCAGCGCCACCTCCAACGTCTCTCTGCTCATATTAGCAAAGCAAAGTCTGAACCAACCTGGTTCAGCACAACAACATGAAGAACCTGGTGATATATTAAGCTTTAAATCATCAATTATCACCTTCCAGAGCTCTGCTTCTCCTTCATTCGTCTCCTCCTCCATCAACTTCTCCATATTCACCCAACAGAACAGCCCTGCCTCTCCTTTCAAGCACTCAATCCCTGCTTCGTTCAACCCATTAACAACTAATTCATATCTCTCTCTCAGTCTCTCTCTATTCTTCTCTATATATCTCACTGTAAACTCCTCATCTGACAGCATAAAAGACAGCAATTTTTGAGTCTGAGAAGAAACAAGACTGAAACTTGACATTCTTCTAGCTGTTTTAACAACTCTGTCGTTATAGGAATACAGAGCTCCAACTCTGAAACCAGGAAGGCCCAAATCTTTCGATAAGCTATAAACAATATGAACTTGTTCAGAGATGGCATCAGTGATGAGGTCTGAAATGCTGAATAAGTTTGTAGAAGAGAAAACAGAGCCAGAGTAGATCTCATCGGAGATCAGATGAATGTTTTTGTCTGAGATGAAGTGAATTATGTCTTGGAGAAGAGAAAGAGAGGCAGAGGTGCCCAGAGGATTACAAGGATTGGTCATCAGAAGACCCCTGACATTAAAGTTGGAAGCTTTGGCTTCAGCGTAGGCTTTTTCGAGGGAGGAGAGAGTCAGTTGGAAGCCATTGGAGCTGTAGCAATGGACGGGGAAGATGGTGACTCCAGTTCTCCATTGCAGGTCTCTCAAAAACCTATTACATCAACAGAGACACAAACTTTAAATATAACATTTTAATAATTCAAAATTTTAAATATAATATTTTGACTATTTAATATTTCCAATCAAAACATGGATGATCAAAATATTATATTTAAAATTTAGACGAAGTAAATAAAAGATTAATGCTTGCCCTGGATAATAAGGAGTTGGGACAAGTAAGGCATCGCCGCGGTCGGCTAAGATAAAGGTAAGGATCTCGTTGGCGGCGGTGGCGCCGGCGGTGAGGACGATGCAGTTGGGATCGAACTTTGATCGACCACCTCTTATTTTCTCCATAAAGCTAGCCAATGCCTGATTAATAAAGAAAAATAGAGGAATATATCATAGTATTAATATGATTGATTAATTATATGAGAAAGACAATTTATGCCTAGTTTGGAATGTGAGAGTATTAATGTTAAGTAGAAAATCTTACGTAACCAAAAAGATTTGTAATGCTTAACATGTTACACGATAATGAATACCGGTCGGACCGGGCTTCGGGCTCATATAAGATGTATTATTTTATTGGCTTAGGGTATGTTTGCGGCAGCTTATATGTCCGGCGGTGTTTTTGAGAACGCATCCTAACCGTTTTGTTTGAACATTTTTGAAAATACTATCTGCCTCATTTGTGTTTTTTACACTAAAAGTAGGTCGCGGGTTGACCCCCCCTGTCGACCCGTGGGTCCGTTTTAGGATAAGCTGCTTATCCTGAAACACACAAGCGGACCCAAATAGACCCTAATATTTACTCGAAGTTAAGAGTTGATTGGTTGTCCTTTTTAAGCATCCCTTATGCTAAATTTTGTAGTACTTTATCATTTTTTCCTCTTAATTTTTTTTTCCATTAAAAAAATTAGATACGTCACAATAATAAATATTCCATAATCTTTCTAATTCAGAAGAATTATAATTAAATTTAAATAATTATAATAGTTAGGCGCCAAACCAGCATTATTTAATGAGCTTTTTACATGCAAAGCACTCGAAACATTGCGATTTACAAATCTAGCTTCTTCTTTCATCTTTTTTTTTAATTCTCACTCAACTATCAAAATTCATGTTAAAACCATAACTCATAATTTTTTTTATTAAATTCTCGACCATGTATATGTGTAATTATCCACATACATGGCACCCGAAACATTGCTTTTTGCGTGGGCAAAAACCATAAAATGTCTATATTCTTAAAGTATTGGGTAAAAATATAAATTAAGAAGGGGTAAAATTATTAAATTGTTTAATAATATTCATAAATAAATATTAAATTTTATTATTTATATAGAAAAAATATTCAAATTCTATTCCGATGAGCAATTGTCCACCCCAGAGAAATCCTAATTCTACACCCTAATTAGGGGTGTAAATGAGCTCTCGCTCGTGTTCGGCTCGTTTATATTTCGAGCTCAAAAAGTGTGTTTGTGTTCGGCTCGTTCTCTTAGCTATTTTGGATTTTTGTATACAGGGATGTCAAAACGGCTCGTTGTTTGCAAACAGCTCGTATTCGATTCATTTGTTAAGCAAACAAGCAAAACACAATTTTTTTTTTCGTTCGATATATAAACGAGCCGAACACGAACAAAGATTTGTGTCCTTGTTCCGCTCGTTATGGCTTGAAATAATTATTGTATTTTTAATTGATATATATATATATAAACGAGCCGAACACGAACAAAGATTTGTGTGTTCTTGTTCCGCTCGTTTTGGCTTGAAATAATTATTGTATTTTTAATTGATATATATATATATATATATAAAATTGATGAGCAGTAGTTTGAGGCAAAATGAGCCACGCTAACTTAGCGAACAAGTAAAACACGAACTTCTTAAAAAGCCGAACATGAGCTGTTCGTGACGAACGAGTCGCTTTGACAGGCTTACCCCTAATGATGGCTCAATTACATGATCCAGATTATTTGAATAATGTTCATTAAAATCTTCTTTGAATGGAAGAGGGCCTTAGTCCCACTTAAGTAATTAAACATTATGTAAATATAGAAATACTAAGTGCTCATCTTATTGAGTGCTAGAGAAAGGCGGACACTCTCACTTCCTCTCCTCTCGCTTCCTATTGGGTGTAGGTGAGTTCCACGCATCTAATATTTCTTCTTTGCGCAGAGAGAGAGAGAGAGAGAGAGAGAGAGAGAGAGAGAGACCTGTCTGAGAGTTTGGAGGCCATGATAGTCCTGAAACAAAGCATTTTCTCTAAAACTAGAGGAGTCAGAGCCCCAGCTAAAAGCTTCTGGGTGCAGCTCCAGGTACTCTTCCAGCAGATCAAAAGAAAGCTATTAAGAGAAAAAAAAAATACAGCCCAAAGTTAATGTTTACTTGCACAACTCATGTACTGCAATTAAATTATATAAAGAAATTAATTAATTAAAAGCTAAAATTTTGCTTTTTAAACTCGCACCTCATGAGGAATTATTGAACTAAACTTACCTGATTCTCAGCTAAGCCCATCTGAATAACTCCATCAGGATTTCTTACAGCATCATAAGGATTCTCTTCATAAGCTTTCCAGCCAGCGAAGTATGGAGAGTCCTCTCCATGAGCTTTAGACACCGCCATTTTTGACAATGGCACCTCTTTCCCAAACATTTTAGACATGATTTTAATTAGTAGTTATTGATAGCAGAGATTAGATTGAGACAAGTATTAATATGAGAAAGACTTAGAAAAAAGAAGGAGAAGGCTACAAGGAATTGATTGTCTGCCATAAATTGCTCATATTTATAGGGCTCCAAAGCCCAAGCTGGTCATGCATGGGACTATAAATTTGCATGAAATTAATTATATTAACATTCAATTAAGCTAATGATTGGTTCTAATTTTTTTGTGGCAATTTTCTTTTTTTTTAATTTAATGGAGAGTGTTATCTGCTGAGTGTTTGGACAGCTGTTTTCAGATTTGCAGCACAGTGAGATATTTTCATGGTTTGATATCTCAGCTTCATTAGGCATATAATTAAGGACCTTAAATTAGTTTTTTTAATTAATTTTTATCGCACTTATCTTAAAACAAAATTAAAAATTTTATTTAACATAAAATTTAATGTATTTCAACCAATTACAAGGGTTAAGTTTTTAAAATATGAGAGTTTTTTTTATAGCAAAAAAAAAAAAAAAAATACTAGGACTTTAATTAAACTAATCTCCAAAGTTTAATTTATATCAAATTCAAATAAATTACTCCAAACAAAATTAAACCTACATGCAAATGAAAGTTTAGATGTCACATAAAATAGCACACCAATGTGCCATGTATGTAAATATGAAAGTTTAGATGTCAGATATGTAAATACAGTAAGAATTGTGTGCTAGGTAGGTAAATTTCCCTTTTTTTTATAACAATTATTCCCATAAAATAGTAAAGTAGAAGTGTTTATTATTTGGCTATAATTTTTTAAAATTTTAAATGCACTTTTCTTCTCTAATTCATTGTTGCGGCATTTACATACATACCACACAATTCTCATGAATTTATGCATCAACACCTATATATATATTCATATTTACATGCATACAATTCAAAATTTTAACGTCACATCAAAACTACCATTATCACTATAGTTTTAGAAGTGAAATATGTATATTTTAATGCATAAGTTTATGATGTCAAAGTGTTATAAGTGTAAATATGAAACTTTGAGTGTGAAATATGTAAATATATAGGACTTGTGTGGTATGCATGTAAATTTCCCATCATTTTTTCAGGAACCAAACTACCCCAAGTTTTTATATTTATTTATCTTTTTTTTTTTAAATGTGTATTGTAATAAGATAAAAAAAGATAATTAATATAATTTATGTTCCAAACAGTCCCAATGGTTTTGCATTGTAAGCAGATGGACGGTAAATCCGTCCTAGCTTTAGAATTCGTGCTAGAGATGATGATCAAGTTGGAAGCTTGTTCACACTATAGAGCAATGTTCATCATACTTTCTGCTCTATTTTTATTTCTGTTGAGCAACAAAAATGAGTTATAAGGTATTTGAGTTGACGATTCAGTAAAGAGAAGGTTCAAAAAGGGAAGGGGCGAAAAGTACATTTTCTATAAAGGGTAGCTTGGATGGCTTCTCAGAAAATCATTGTTATGATTTGTACCTATCAGATTGACAAATAAATAAATTTATTATTCCAGAAATAAATAAATATACTATTTTAATTAATTACATACTAATTAATTTAATTTACGGCGGTAGAGTGATATATTCACATCTTAATGTTGTACGAAAATCTGACACAGTTACTGGTAAAATAAGTTGACAGAAAGACGACAAGAGTTTTTTACGTGGAAAATTTGAAGTGTGACATATCCTATCATATCCTTGTTGGGTGCCTGTAAATTCACGGCGGTAGCGTGACATATTAACGTCTTAATCTTGTACGAAAATCTGACACATATACCGGTAAAAAGAAATTGACAGAAAAACAACAAGAGTTTTCTACGTGGAAAATTTGAAGTGTGACATATCCTATCATATCCTTGTTGGGTGCTTGTAAATTCACGGCGGTAGTGTGACATATTAACTTCTTAATCTTGTACAAAAATCTGACACAGATACTGGTAAAAAGAAATTGACAGAAAGACGACAAGAGTTTTTTACGTGGAAAATTTGAAGTATGACATATCCTATCATATCCTTGTCGGGTGCTTATAAATTCACGGCGGTGGTGTGTCATATTAAAGTCTTAATATTGTACGAAAATCTGACACAGATACTGGTAAAAAGAAATTGACAAAAAGACGACAAGAGTTTTTTACGTGGAAAATTTGAAGGGGCAAAAATCATGAGGTCTGACTTAAGTGAAATGATTGCGCTATGCTGATATATGTTACAAGACTTTCTCGGCCTTTGAATACCCAGAAGCAATATTACATGAGTGGAGTGTGATTTTTACCAGGAAAGTGGCAGAAAATATTGAGGAAGTGGTTGTGACCCGACTGCTACAAATAAAAGACATTAGTAGAGGTCGAGTGCCAAAAAGTCTGATGCTAGTGTCGTTAGTGGTGGTTGTGGTCTGAAGGCGACAATGATGATGGTCTGCAAGCAGAGCCTTGGTAGTGGCAACATTAGCCATCTTGCGTGAGGTTGCAAATGAATCGAGCATTTGACATGCTAATTGTGGTCAACTTGATTAAAGCTCATTTATGATCATTTGAATAATTAGTTAAACAAGCTTGAACATTTTTATAAGTATTCAATTACTAAATAAACAAGCTTGAACAACTTATTGTTTGGTTAATTTATGTTTATGAACAGTATCATTTCAAGCTCGTGATCTGATGACAACAATAATGGAGGTTGGGAGACACTGGTCTAGCGACGACGATGGTCATACGATGGTTTGGTGTGGTGACAGTGGCCCAATGATGATGGAACGGCTCAACGACAATGGCAGACGCGTAGTGGTGGTATGGGGTTGGTTGTGGCTATACGACGGTGGTTTGGTAGTAGCAACGGTGGTTAGGCAAAGGTGAGGGTCGGGCAACAATGGTACAACGGTGATGAAGGTCAAAAGGCTGAGGTTCAGTGGTGGTTTTGGCCAGACAATGGTGCCCCAGTGGTGGCAATAACAGTGATCGAGCAATGGTTGTCCGACAGTGGCGGTGACTTAATGACGGTGGTTGAGCAGTGACAGTGGTCTGACGGTGGAGCTGACCAGACAACGGTGTCAAGACAATTATGGCCTAGCTGTGGCGGCAGCTCTACGATTTTAGTCGGGCAACAGTGGTCTGGTTGCTGCGACGGCTCGACAACGTTTTTCAGGCAGCAGTGGAGCTCAGGAATCCTTAAGAGCTTGCACCTCCTTCAACTTTCTCTTCCAGGCCCAATTTCCTCTTCATGCATAAGGTGGAGGTCAATTTATAGATTTTGTAAGTAGCATGCTCCATAAATATTACATGAATCCGGATTATTCCATTGAACAACCCAAAGTGATCCCTTTGATCAAATGATATTCTATGAACATTTAAGCACCTTAATGATGTTAGAAATAAGTGATATATGGCTCGTCAAGACGCTCGATTTGACCATACTAGTCAAACTCCAAAATATATTTCAAAGCATACAATTATATTTTGAGTGCATGATTTGGGTGCAATTGGACTCGGATCGGGTTGTTTTTTATGTCATCAGGCCCGTCTCCCTAAGACCCTTCATTTGATCATAAATCAGAGCACAATGTTTCTAAATTTGAATTTTGAAGCTCTCGGTCAAAATGTGCGCCGAGATTCTTGCGTGTCAATATGATTTTAGGAACGTTTTGATCATAAGAATACGAACTTATAAGAATATTTATAATTATTTCTATATTCAATCACCCCATACAACAATTTTTTTGACGAATAGTCATGATTTTTTAAAATAATTAAACACTAATTTGACGAAATAATTTTTGGTTTTACCACTCAAAGAAATGGTTGAACACTTACGCTGATAACTCTTTATTTATTTATTTATTTTAATTTTCTCATCAATTATACAACTTGATAGTTAACTAATTTACAACATTTGATTTATAAAATCCAATCTGCACATGAACAATATCTTAAAATTTTCTATGAAAAAAAAATAACACCAATAATATATAAAGCAACGTGTCATTAAGTAATATAACATTCATCAATAATATGGATATCTAAATGTTTTACCCATAAGAAAATCCAAATATATTGTTGCACATTTTATAACTTAGTTTTATTTTAGATAATTTTGATATAATGTTTATACTATATATATTTGAAAAGGAAAGGCCGGAGGGTATTACAAGAGCCCCCAGCTACCCCTAATTTGTTTAACCATTCAAATACCACCCTTCATAAAGCGACTGTCGGGAATTCGAACCCTCAACCTCAAGGGACTTACAACTGACTCACAGCTGCCAACCAACAATTCAAAGTACACGACATATATGTATAAATTTGTTGTTTTTTAAAACTTCTATATCATTATCCGCGAGGTTTAGAACATGTCTAAATAATTATCCTATCAGAGAGATCCTATGAATGAGAGACACAAATCATCCCCAACAATAGCAAAAGAAACACATTTCAATTTGGATTCACAACCTACTTGCTCTGAAATAGTTAAGGGTGCTTCATTAGACAATTGCAAATAGAACTCAAATTAAACCCAAATTATGAGGGCGATATTTACAAGAAACCCACAATTATGAGGTATAAATAAAAATTAAAAAACATGCCTAAATTCACTTAATAAAGGCACTCCTTACACTTAAAAAGCTAGTCACCCACAAGTACAAGTGTAATGAATGACATGAAGAATTTTAAGAAAGCATAAATTACATGATTGTTATTGAAGTGCACGTTTATGATAACGCCAACATTGTCAAAAGCAAATATTTTAATTCCAATTAATATGAAGAGCATGTATGCTAAGAAAGAAGCAATTACATATATATCACCTAAAACTCGCTATTTACAAATCAACCAACCTCTTTTATCCATTTTTCAATTACAGATATACATAGATTCAGTAGTTCAAAAAAATCATCTGAAACGATACGGGCAGTCTGTATGTAATTATCTCAAAAAATAAAAGTTTGTAAACTCATTTATTGATCCCAAAGAAAACATTAAACTTAAGAATAATACATCATAAACCTCAAAAAGGCCATATGTTCAATTTAGGCGATTAGACCCCACATAAACAATAAATCCTCACGTTTAATATTACTCACATTCAACCAATCTGAACAAATCTAGAGCTTAAAACAATCAAATAGATTATAAACAACCAAAAAATGAAAAAGAAAAGCAAAAACAAGAAAGAAGGTATTCCTACAGTATTTACAAGATAAGGCAATACATCTTAATTAAAAAATCAGAGTCAACAAATATAAAACGGGGCAATCACATACATGGTACATGAAACATTGCTATTTATAAATTTAGCACCCTCTTTCAACCATTGTTCAAATTCTCAGTCAAATATCAAAATTCATGTTAAAATCCCAACCCATTTTTCATTTTTATCAAATTTTCAATGGTTTGATTGTGGCACGCGTAAATACATCAGTTCAGCCGTTCTGAAATATCACCTATGTACTAGATTTTGTAAAGACAACATAAAAGACATTATACAATACCGAGCCTAATAGCAACACTATATAAATTGTATGCATCGGAAACTATACAGAAATGAGTCTTAAGAATCCTTCAATCATTTTTGTAATATTTACATCAACATTTTCTTCAACAGATTTGCCACCTACAACGTATTTGCAAGCCGAATTGCCAAATATATATACTTCAGACAAAAAACAGCAATAACAGAAGTAAAGCTGACGTACTGTTCGATTAAAAGACCTCCAGCTCAAAAATTTATCTCATAATGCAAATCCATGAAGTTATCCACACATGATTCCTTCCATATTCCCCACTTCCACTTAAAAATTGGGAAATGGCTTCTGCACCTTCCAATAGTTCTGTTCTTGATAGAATCAGAAGAATCTTTGTGAATAAGCACTGCCACTTCACAAGAAGGCATGCAAAAGTTGAGCACAGACGACACCAATTCTATGTCAAGATCAACTGGCGGCAGTTTGATGCTCAACCTCTTCAATTTCCTCCACTGAGAAGAAATTGACGAGCTGACATAATTTTCCAGTTGAGTCCACGCCCCCGGTCCTAACTTAAGCTCATCCACATTAGGAAATGTGCTGACAATGTCGAGTGCCGTGAATTTTCCGAACGATTCATTGGCATTGGAAGATTGGAATCCTTCAAGCTCCAACTTCGTGACAGCTTTACACCCTTCAAACAGTCGTTTGATGCCTTTTAGATCTGATGTTTTCAGTTTGATGGAGTTCAAGTAAGGAAAACTATGAACTTTGATGAGTCCACCTGGTTTTTTGATCTTAAGGTTGATTTGAGATAGGAGTGGGGCTTCAAGAACAAGATATTTTGGTTCAACACATTCTAATTTCAACTCGACTAAGTTGGGTGCATGAACGGCTAAACACAATGGGAAATTTGAAACCGTCCAATGGCATATCCTTAGATGTGGAAGGCTAATCGTAGGCTTTCTTAGGCCTCCAACCCCAATTAATTTGAGAATTTTAAGGGAAGGAAAGCTCTCGTTGACTTTGTCTAGGTCTTCGTCATCTAATCTAATGAATTCGAGCCTTAAGTTGGTCAGTTTTGGCATGGGTTTAAGCCCATCGACTGACAGAGAAGCATTCTTCATTTCTAAGTTCAGCAGGTTACAACCTGTACATCAAAGATTATCATATATATATATATAGCATGAACAAAATAAATACATATTCTATTGGAGAGTATCGGTTTTAAGATGGGCACAACAATTAAAATTTGAAGGTGATGCAAAATTAGAATCTCTGCATTTTATTCTATAGTAATGGCGACAATAAGATTACTTTGCAATTTAATCTCAGGAACAACCAGATAAGGAAAAATGTATCGAGCAAACTTATTTGACTAGATTTAGAACTTTTAAATAAGGAAGATTCACATACATACCAGTGTAACACTCAATCCCTATGTATTTACATATCTAAAACCTAAACTTAAATTTTTACTTGCATACCACCTTAACTATGCATGAAAAGAAACATTTCATTTTTTAAGTTAAAATGATACTTTTATGTGATATGAAAGATTTGAGTGATACAAATGTAAAAATTAAAGTTTAGGCGTTAGATATGTACTGCATAAGAATTGGGTGGTATGTATGTAAAAGCCCCTTTGGATATTGTTCCAAGAGGAAAAAGTTATAATGATTTATAGATCTCCAGAACAAATTCTTTTCAAAGGTAAGATGCATAAAAGTTCGTATCATGACCACCTTATTGATCATTTGTGAAAAGCCATTGATGCAAAACCTAAAACCAAAGATCTTATTCCCAATCTTGGCACAATCCAAACGCTAATCTAATTAATAAACTAGTTTTAGAATGCATAAACCTTTTGCCACAAAAACAGGGAAAAATAAGAAAGAAAACTATGTTCAAAATAGGAAATTAAGGGAAATAAACATACAAACCTGAATAGTAAAATCATAAAAGGATAAATCAAAGGCACAGCATTCTTCATTGAAATAAGGAAAATCGTCAAGATTAATGTGAGCTATCAGAAGCTGTTTCCAATAAACAAAAAGGAAGTCCAAGATACAATTCAGGGAAGACACGCACCAAGCCTAAGCTCAGTCTGAGTATATTATTATAATTATTCTATGGAAGCATCCCTTGCAATTTATTCTCATTATATGCTTTAGAGATCAGAAGTAAAACGATGAGAAATAGAAGTTGTATTGCTAAAATTGTCTACCCATCCATAAAAAGTTTCTAATAAGCTATATTTAATATAGTTCTTAGAATTGGTATGAAGCATAGAAAGCCTGCAACATTAATGTTTGAGTGTAGTTTTCCAAATAATATTGGCAGAGTGCAATTAGTTCAAAGGAGATTAAAGCAATGGTTGTGGGCAGGAATTAAGAGCTACTAAAATAAACTTCTCAACATCATTAGCCTCACCAATTTCATTTAGGATCAGCATCAGGGAATCAACCACTAATCAATCATGTTGGTTCTTCACATGGGGTAAATTTATAGATGACGCAAGACTTTCGCATATCTAGTCGAGTTCCCATTGTTACAATCCTATTGCATTCATATTAATTTGTATCCTTGCCATAATGTTACAGTTTTGGACCAATCTCCATTGTGAAAGAGTACAAATGTAGCTAGTTCTTTACAAAACCAATCTCCGGCCAACAAGTCTAATGTTGTATGTAATCTAAGTACTTCAAGTACCAAACTACCTTTTCCAAACAAAAAAGCCAAGATCCAAGGTATGAGATTATTTTATCAAGTATGTTTTTAAAGATGGAAAAAAAATGATAAATATTATTACGGTAGAATAACATATCATAGTGATCTAAAGGTTAATGCTACTACAAGTTTAAAACAATATTTAACTATCAAAAGAATAATCATAACATTGAACCTCATCAAACAAGATCGCTGTTACAACTCTGCGTTAAAGGAGATGAGAGTAGTGAGAGCCTTGAGGCATGGAGAATTGAACATAAGAATGCTTATGGTGATTGCAAATGAATCACACAAACTATTGAGGGTTAAGATTCAGGTTGCAAATTGTTACCCAATGTTTCAAATTCCATCTTGATGGACTCTAACATGTGATTGCTTTTAATTTTACTTCAATGAAAGATTTATTTCAAAACAAATATTAAAAGCAACTAGATTTGCTATAGCCTAATTGATCCAACAAAGCATCTTGGAAGCAAGGTAACTTTAAAAGCTATTTTCACCTTCACACAATGACTTAACTATGCTTAGCAAAGAAACCTAAAAAGAACGAAGCTAAAAAAATTATTTTGATGGAAGTTTTTGGTTGAAGTTTGAGCTATGCTATAACAACAGCTAAGCTCTTAGTTCAAATTTTAATGATACTTGATGTGAATATAAAGTTTGCCATGAGCTACATAGAAAACATGATGGTTGAGGTAAGGAATAGATATCACAGAATTTAGGAAGAAAAAACCTAGTTGCAAGAAATTTAAAAAATAATTGATGAGAAGTGGTGGTTTCTCACTTCATCCTTATTTGTATGTAAAAAGATACTAAATCCTTAAGTTCAAAATGCTGAGAAAAGTTAACCAACTATGAGATCGAACTTAATTTGAATCACAATATGAAAGGATTCATAGCTATAACTCAATTGAGAAGGTAAAGAAAAATATTCAACTTATAACATTAAAAATAAAGCAGGCTTCTTTCAATTACAACAAGCTAAAGATGCAATCATAAAATATTTCCTAGATAAATTTAAACATTTATTTGTTAAAATTTTAACAAATTTAATGCTCTTTTTATTTAGTGTTTTTTTAGTTTATTTAAATGGTAGATTTAATTTGTTGATGCCACTTCAAAGCTATATTGAGTTGGTATTAAAGGATAGGAATTACATATTTTTCATTTTGTTGTGTACAAAATTGAAGTCCATATAAACAAGTTCATGCCAAAAGGAGAAACTGTTTGACCACTTTAAGGATGAATTCATTGGTTTACATCATGTATAAAACTAGATTAAAGGAATAATACTTGAAGGAAAAGGCTACAGAGGAAGATAACAGATCCATTAGAATCAAATATTGTGCCATTAGATGATAAATGATCGTGGATGATGGCAATAAAGTTATAACATTAGATTTTCAACATGAAGATTTCAATAGTGATTTTTTCATTGAAGTAAAAGAATTAGACCAAAAAATCAAATAAAAGTTAGCAGTAAATCAACACGAGAGATTTTTATTTAAAATATAAAATATAAAATATAAAATATAAAATTAAAATCTAAAATTAACTTTATATTTTAGATTTTTATCTAAAATATAAAGTTAAACAGCGTATTTAAGCTTAAATCTAAGTTAATTATCTAAATTAAATCCCAAACATACATCTATATTTAAAAAGTTTAAATAAAGAAGATTTAAAAGTTAAAACCAACTAGAACAAAATTAAATCAAACCAAGTTTAAATTAATTAAAACCAAACCTAAATCTTACAAAATAGAATAAAATTAACAATTAAATTGTATTAAATTAAATCTATAATTAAACTAAATCCTAACTTAACTAAAATCAAACATAAAACAAACCAAATTTAAAACTAAACAAAACATAAACGAACAAAATGAATATTTACATACATACCACTTAAATCTTATATATTTAATATATAACACCTAAAAGTCATTTTTTTACATATATGCCATCTTTTCTATAGATGAAAAAAATGCATTTCAATTTTAAATTTAAAAGTGAAGCATAAATGTAAAAAAATATAAAGTTTAAGTGATAGAAACGTAAATACACAAGAGGTGGGTGATAGGCATGTAGATGTCCAATTAAAAAAAATCAAGCCTAAGCCCTCTTCTAAACCCTAAGCCTTCTTCCATGCCCTCAACTCCTCGTTTTTCTCTCCACCCTATGAATTTAATATGAGGGAGAGGTGGGGATTAAAGGCTAGCAAGTCTTATTAATGCCCCAAGTGTCCATTTTTGGGTTCCCATACCACCCAACCGAAATGGAATATTCTTCCTCTTCTAACTGAAGGAATCGCAAACTTCCCCTTCCTCCTTTTGTCTGCAGGCAAGGAAGCTCCTTTACCGCCTTCACATGATGAGCCGCAACCTCTTTCTCCTTTCTTCACACTTCCAACCAATAATAGCAAGGAAGTAGCTCTTCCTTCACAAAAATAACAATCCAAAACTCTCATCTCCAAGATTTTAGTGGAACATGACCAAACTCCTCCACCTTCTCTTTTGATTCCATAAAGGAACCAACATGCAAGGGAACAAAATCTCAAGCAGCTCTACATCCTCTTCATTTTGCAGGGTACACATCACTTACAAGTGATTTTCTCTTATACCATTGTTCGCATCAATTTTTGATGTCACGAGTGTAGGGTGTCCACTTGCACGACTTAAGATGATCTACGGTTCACCCGCAGCATCCGATGGCTCGAGGCACTCACCCGGGACCTTTTGGCGCATGTTGAAGGGGCACGTAGCCAGAGTCATTCTGCTAGGCTATGGCTTTCACTCAGATGAAAGGCCGGTCGTCATTTGGCACGTCAAACGACTCTGATTGGGGCAAAAAATATTATGTGGCACATCGCGCGTAATTTTGACTCAAAAAGACCCGATCATCAGCGAAGTTGTCTAGATGACCCTGGATGATGAAATGGACGCCGCCACTGTGTCCGGA